CAAGTGTCTTAATTTCTATCATTTTAATTTAGATATGGAACAAATGTAGAACATACATTTGATTTGACATCAGTAGGTAAATAGCTTATATTTTAAGAGTTCAATGTTGAAACAATTTCAACAAGCTCTGCTGATCCAGTTTTTTCTTTGTCTGTAGTTTTTTCGATTTAGCCATACTTTGACAATGAGATGATGCATGTGTAGTTACCTGACAATGAGATAATCTATTTTATTGACTTCAGAGCTCTCGATCTGCCAGATTTGGGACCGATATTCGGCCCCATTCCCAATGCAAAATAGTATCTTTTTTCCCAATTTAGACCCCAAGTTTTCCCAATTCTAAGGAAAACGCTGTTATTTTTCCCAATTCTAAGGGCCCTGGGCCCCAGTCCTAAAATGGGGTGTGAGAGCCCTGGATTTATCCAGATTATGAGATAGTCTATTTTATAGACCTACCTAACAATGAAATAATCCATGAAAACTTTTGCCTTATTACCTGATGATGTGATAACCATAATTATTTTTACCTGACAACAAGATAATCCATTTAAGGTTTACTTGACAATGAGAAAATCAGTGTGTATTTTGACCTGTAAGTGAGATAATCTATGTGTAGTTTTACTTAAATATGAAATAATCCATTAATAATTTTACCTGATATAATTACTTGTAATTTACCTGACAATGAGATAATCCATATGTAGTTTGTATAAGAGATCCAGTGTTTCCCCATCCTGTATAAAATACCTCAACACCCTAAGGGTTGCTGCTCTCACCTCTTTGGCCTCATGGAACAAACTCACTCTTAAGCTGAAACAAAAGTAGTGTCATCATTAGCATTGTAAATTTTAACATATGATTTAAATTTTGGGACTTTACACAAAACCATACTTCTTTCCAATTTATTCAAATCATAATTTAATCATGTTAGTCAGGTGCATTGTTTTGCCAACACAAAATATTATCATGAATTTTGTCAGTTTCACTTAAAACAAATATGTATTGTATTTTTTCTTACCAGCACAATATATCTTGTTTGGAATATCCTAAGCTTTTCTCTTTCCCCAACTTGTAAAGAAGTTTAACAAATGCATTTAGATAACCAAGCTTCTTAGTCTTATGTACATGAAGATGTACTGTTGCAATGCTCAGTATTTCTTTAACATTTTCACCAGGATCTGAAATAAAGCCATTCAGTATGAAAATTACATTGATCCAAAGTAAAAGGTTTTTACATTAGTCAAAGTGTATACATGATAACCAAAAGTATATACATATCATCCAACATAATAAAATTCAATTATTTACACAAAAAGGTATGATGGATAAAAATTCTAACATGACTTAACTCGACTTAACATGAGGAAAATATTTGCGAAGCAATACTTATTATTTTTGGGATACATCTTGGGTCAAATACCATTATGCATCCATGAAAAGACAAGATGTTTTATATACAGATGTACTGGCATAATTTGTCTATTTTAGATATGCAGGATGAGTCCATGTCATCTTTTGAACAATATTAAAAGTATTCAATCCAAATTTTAGCAACATCCTACAGATGGCACTGGGTACCTAATATCAGTAACTTGTTATCAACCTAATACAGAAGTGGTGATTCCTGTAAAACGCAAAACCTTGATTTTGTGAATTTCTAATACTGTTTAATTGGTGAAGCTTCAACAGACAATATGTCCATTTTTCTCAAATTACAGCACACATATATCATAGACGTTTTTACATACTTTAACTTCCTATTTCTCATAAAATTATTATGACAGTATGTTGTCATTGAATAAAATGCTGACCTAAATATGGAAAGACTTATCATGATGATGACCAAACAAGAAGAAGAAACACATTTTCAAGGTTTGTTTGGTGCAGTCAAATTTTAAGTACTTGTGTTTTGATTCAGAAATGTGGTAGTATGACTTTGTATTGAAAGAAAAGAAAATAGAAACAAAACAAAATGTGGGTAAAAATTGCCCCATTCATTCTCCGACATCAGTGTCAGTTGGAAGGAAGGAGACAAGGTATGATTGTAACATTCATACCAGAATTTACCAGGTTGCAAATATTGTGTGTATCTGTGTCAGAATAACAGAGGTCATTATAATTCAGTGCCGCTGAAATGGAGCGAAACTGGGACCTCTTCATTTCTAGATATGTATATATAGTTTCATTTTCTGCTGAGGTATGGAAAGAGGTAAGTTCTTAGAGACCAGGTTGGAGTGATCCGGCTTGCACTTTATCTGGGTACAATCACAAAAATGTGGATGACATTGGACATACGCTTAATCTAACCGTTAGTTTTCTTAATTCTGTTTTGGTTTCATATTTGAACAGATCATTTTGCTATTATTTCAGAAAACCGGCTAACTAAGCCTGAAAGAATTTCAGGAATGCCAGTCAGTCCAACGATTTACAACTTAAATTCATGATAAGTAATCAATCCGCTGGAGAATTTTCAAAGTCTGTGTGAATGTTTGAGGTCAATTTAGACCAGGTTCCCAGGACGTCGACTGCTTTCGCCTAATTGACATGTCAACCCACCTTTCGAAAGGTCCAGTTTTACACCTTCCTCGCCGCTTTCATGGCGTACTGAAATTAAAAGAAATGAACAATTAGATAAATTGATATTCAATAGAAATGAAAACATTAAGATCAAATAAGATGTATCGAAACATACTTCTAGATCGGACATTTCTGAATGGACGTCCGTGGCGGACCATAGCGGCCGCCATTATCAAAATTTACTTCCTACACGGACGGTTGTCGTAACTTTAACGTTTCGTTAATCCACTTAAATAGTACCATATTATACCTATAAGATACATATCAAATAAATAATTACTTGGATAAATATCCCTTTTAAAAAATCTAAATTGCTGAAGCACTATTTTACGACTATCGTATCACCCGATCCATTTTTGGCAACAATGGCAGACGAAACGGCGATCTTCCTACCGGAGTTCACAAAAATAGCAGACAATATCCGTGGTGCGGAGGGGCCAGTATTTGACACAGATGGAAACTTTTACATGGTTGAACCAGAAGCAGAAAAAGATGGAAAATTTGCTGGTCGGGTGTTGAAAGTAGATTTGTCAACAGGAAAGGTGAGGACGTTTCGGCAGCCTACCTGGTAGTAATTTCTACACAGCATGTTCAAGATGTTTCTGTATTTTGCAAGACGATTCGGTATCGCATGTTTTGTTTCCAAAGGACGCTTTCGTTTATAAGTTGAACTAGAATTCCTCCCAATGGAAGATAAAGAATTTTAGCAACCCGCACATTTACACAGTTGTTATCCAACTTTAAGGTTAGGCACACACTCATTTATGTGTAATTTTAACACATTTGCGTGACAATTATTGTTTCGGGCAATAATTTAGACACTCAAATGGGGGATAATTTGAAATGAAAACACAAAGTTCTTTTAAACACATTTGCAAGGGAAAATTTCTCATGTTTTAATGCCATGGATATAGACGTGATTTGTATGCACGGTAACACCCCAATAATTTGCTTTGGAGCATAAAGTTGCATCTTTGTCTGTCCACCAGTCCATTCATCCATATATTTGTATATATTTTTCACACTAAGAGGATGAACAATATTCCAAATTTAGGGTCTGCAACCCCCTTACTCACATAGTTATCGCCCTTTGTTATTTTTTTTCGTGTCCTGTGGTGATAGTCATCCATTTGAGTAACAATTACTGCCTTGAGTTATAAATTTATTGCTCAAATGTGGAACAATTTGACATGGACACACAGATAGTTCTTGAAAACATGTGTCCAGCCAGTCCTTAAATATTTTTTGTTATCATTGTTTTCTTATGACCACTGGATTAATTAACTTTGTCTCCAGTTATGCATCTTAAAAGTTTGGACCGATTGGAAAATCAAATGACTGTAAGATGGCTATCTTGGATTTTGACTGTTGAAGTTTATTATTACTACTTACTCAGAAGGTTTTTCTCAAATTTCATAAATTAGTTCAACTTGAGAGTGATTAGTGACTTATTTCATGATTGATCTGGAAAATATATATTGACCACCAGGCAATACTGGTTTTCCAAATTTCAAATCCCACACCAATGAAATTAATAAAGACCAATTACATATCTATTTGTTTTATTGTTTTAAAGCTGTGTGAACTTGTAGTGATTATAGAGTGGCCAATTTCTTGTGTTATTTGATTGAAGGTTGAGATCCTATGTGAGCCTAGCATTAATGGAGATGGAGGAATTCCTGCAGGCTGTCAGTGTGATAAAAACAATGTGATTTGGATAGCAGATATGAGACTAGGAATTATCAAAGTCACCAAGGATGGGCAATTTCGACAGGTAAGTTGCATATTAATTTTGTGTGTCTTATGATCATACAGATTTTCCAACACACTTATACCACCTGTTCTGAAAATAAAGCAACAATTATATTAGAATTCTGTACAGCAATCACACAAAGTACTGCATGCTTAAGTTATACTCATTGTTAAATATGGATGTCATTATTGTTTAGGCTTAAATTTACATTGTTCAAAATTACACCTTGAGTTTTCCATATCTTTAACTATTTACTGTTTTAGTTCCATATGCTATATTCAACAGCAACAGAAAATTAAATCAAGGATGTTTAGAAGATGGTGGTTATTAATATCAAGTAATGTTGTGATAAGAATTAATAGATAACAATGAAACATTATGATAGGTTTTCTTCAGTATTAATTGAAGCTCCTCCTGAAGAAAACTTTGACAGAGTTTATTGCTAAGGAACCTTTCCTTAGACAATCAGACCTAGTAGATGGACCAAACCTAATGGATTACTCTACTAGACTGTTAATTAAGCATTTGCTATATAAAATGAAGGTGATACTCCGATGATTATTCTTCTTGTTATAAGTTGAATTTTACACTGAGCTTACCAAGTTAATTTTGTCATTTAAGGTATGCAAAACTGACAAAGAAAACAACACTATGCAGGGATGCAATGACTGTAGCTTTGATTACAGTGGAAACTTGTGGGTGACTGCTCCAGCTGGGGAAATAGCTCCTCTACCTTACAGAAGGTCTATGGAGGTATGTCTGATACATAAACTAAATTTGAACTTCATGATTGATCAATGGTTATAACCAGATAACTGTTTTCTTGTCAATGAGGTGTAATGTTACTTGGATAAATGTTGTTCTGATTTTAAGTCAAACATATTTTTTAAAAATCAGTGTTGATCAATCACTTCATATATAGTTCATTTATTTATTGTAAGGGCTTTTTTATATCTTCTCCACAGGAGGCCTTTGGATCAGTGTACTGTTTGACAAAGGAAGAAGAGGTGATTAAGGTTGACACTGGAATACGTTTCCCTAATGGAATAGCGGTTAAACACTCAGAAGATGGACGACCTACACTGCTTATTGTTGCTGAGACACCTACCAAGTCTCTATGGGGATACAACATAGAAGGTCCAGGCAAAGTATCCAAAAAAGTCCTCTGGGGAAAACTGCCAGGTATGCACAAGCATGATCATTTGCTTAGTATGATCTGATACCAGTATTGGTTTAGGTAATTGGCAACTTTAACCAACTTCATAAGACATTTATTTAAAAACAGAATGAATAGTAGATTATTCATCTCAGTGTATGATTATTGGTGACCTTTGCTTCTAAATGCAGCATTTAGACACAAAGAGCTAAAAAGCAAGGGGACAGATTATCATTTTTGACCTTCAGTTTTGGGAAAATATTATCAGTAAATCTTCTGAATTGTTCTCAATTACAAAAATCCAATTAGATTACCAGAAAGAACATGTTAAGATATCTTCTTAGAAAGTAGATAAAAGGCACAGGGGTCACTTGTCCAACCAACTATGGATTTCTCTGGACACTCCAGTTTCCTCCCCACAGTAAGACCCGTTGCATGCTTCCACCTGTGCCTACAAGAGTAATTAATAATATGTTGAAATACCTTGCTTTTGCAATTTTTGTAATATTAATAAGTTCATATGTGGGTTTATCACATGTGATACGACTTTGGTTTAAATGTAATGTGACATACAATGTTTGATTGTCTTGATTGTCTTAGAGATATGTATGATTGTCTTCACGATGTCTGGCACTGTAGGTGACCGTAATATAAACTATATTTCAATCATAATTTCATATATATATATACACATAAAATAGCATTAAGAACCATATTTGAATCTGATTCAGACACCAGTTTTGCATCTTTTATTAATCTGTCTCCTTGTCTCTGTAGGTGACCTTGAGGGTGGACCAGATGGGATGGACTTTGATGAGGAGGGTAATTTATTGGTGGCCCATTGGGGATCCTCCCATATTGAAGTGTTCAGTCCTGAAGGAGGGAGTCCCAAGACCAGGATCAAATGCCCTTTTGCCAACCCTAGCAATATCCATTTTCAGCCAACCTCTAGCACTGTATATGTTACAGAGCACGAGTTTCATGGTCTGTGGAAGTTTGAATGGAAACATAAAGGAATGCCACAATTCTGTGATACTTCATTTTAACTACTAATATAGAATTTTTATAGGTTGTGTTAGGTCATATTCCAGTATGCTAGGTATATTTAAAAGAAATTGATTTACACGATATTAAGTTGTAATTGCAATCTATTTACAAATATTTTTGATGTTGATTCTTGGTGAATTATGTCAACCAATATTGATGATTGTGGTATTTACATGAATTGAAGAATAGTACATGTTATATTATATCTTTAACACACTTAATTGAAATGTTATTTAAAGGAGCCATGAATTACTTGCTAATTAATTGCTATTTAAGAGTTATGAGAATGGTCCACAGAAAGAATTATTTCTCAATATTTGCTAGTCAATGTTGTAGGTTTAAATTCCATATGTTTATGATTTATAACCTTATAACTTACAAATTAATTTTGTTATAATATTAACATGATAAAGTTTTTGATATACAATGACATGATATTTGTTGATGATAACACAGGCTGTTTTCAATCAAATTGTTATTCTTATTGTTAAGTATTTATTTTTTTATTCTGAAAAATCAGCAAAGTTGTTACATATACATTAGATTTTATATAATGGTCAACACCTTAAATGTACACTTGTTTGATAATCTTAGAACACATCAATATTTTTCTTTGTCTATATATCATGAAGTCATCATGACTATTGAATATTGTGTTGACCAAAGTGATATGTATTGTGCATCATCCATATACAGTAACTACATGCTGTTTTTGTTGATTAAAAATATTTCATGATAATACATATATGACAAATGTTTTAAAATTATTTTTGGACAAAATTGTTTTTATAATAAACATTCCAATTATTAAAAATGAGATCAAACACTCAAATCTTAGTTATGATTTTGTAATAGAAAGATATTCTTTTTCCTTTGAAGTTATATGAAGTTCTCCTTTCCATAGTGAAAGATTCCTATGTAGAATATGATGCATTGACCCTGCACACTATAAAGTATTGATATTTTGCAGATATACTACTTACGCTGTAATCTTTGTCACACAAAAGTAGGGGCGGCATTGGCTGAGTAACTTTAGCATTGAACTGTCTTTATCACTAGCTCTCGATCTCTGGATCATAGGTTCAACCGCAGATCAGTGGTTTTTCTACAGGAAATCTGGCATTTCTCCAACACCTAAACCTGTCAGACTCTTAATGAACTTGACTGTCAATAAGATGTAAATCAACAATAATCAACCCTTACAAGAAATTTAGACCCCATGAATGTATTGCTTGTGATCAACAATCAACACTAGATGTTGTATTTTTATTTCTTTCTATACTTTATTCTCTACTGTAGGTGTCTGACTTGGCATGAGTCCTCATATGACCCTGGCTGCTGTGAGGATGTAAAACTCATACAAAACAAAAAATAAATGTACAAAATAACAAAGCCAAGTGATAAAAATCATTTTTATTAGTGGTTTAGTTAGATTACTTCCCTTTGACAGCAGTGTTCTTGCTATTAACAGTTTAACCTATTGGTCATACTTGCATATCTTTTACAAAAATGTAGAATTGATTTTACATGCAATACATTGTTTGGCAATCAATTCAATCCATCTCATCAAGCTCTTTAAACTTAATGATAGAACACTCTGTGCCCACAGTTTCCATTGCTGTATGTTTATCATATTAATTGACATGTTTATTTTCATGTGAACATGGTTACACTATAAAAATACATGCAATTTGGAATATATTGAATTGTAGGAATAAAAATACGTGTAATACCTTTTCAGTGAGCTGAAATTATTCTTCCATTTTCTGATTTGAAAAATGATTATCAAATGGGGACTTATTCATTTATGCATTACCATCCTTATCTTTTTTTGAATGTTTTGAAAGTCATCATCTTTATTTCAAAATTGTATGGATGATAAATGTTTATTCTTGGTTCAATGTTTAATCAAGGGTCAATTTAATTACTGGTATGAATATATTGGGCTTAATAGAACCTAGATTTTATTGGGAAGTGCTAGAGATGTAAGATTTCAGAAGCAATTTAAATACATACTGGATGCAGTCAAATTGCTTAATAAGTAAATATATTGGAGACAGGTAATGTTAAACAAGTTAAACAATGTTAGTCAAGTAAGCAACCTTTTAAAGAGCTTAAATGAACCAAACTTACAAGGTGTCCTCTTTCCCAGAAAAAAAGGCCAAAATACTTATTAGGTCAGATATTGTACTACACAATTACACGTTAATACACCTAATCAACAAGGCAACTTATAAAAGTATTAAATAATAATAAGATTTTTGAAAAGTCATTCTGTCCTTGAATCTTTTGTTAACAAGGATATCCATTTCAAATATATTGAATATAAATGAGTTATCATTTCTGATGAGATTTTATGAAGTTTCTATTTTTGCCAGCTTTGACGAGTAAAATTTTGAATTTCAAGACGTGAAAACAAAATTAAGGTACTTTTCATCACAGTTACATTTTGACTGGTTTTTAATTCAAAATGTGGAGAACAAATATGAAACTGAGGGAGTCATTTTTTTCCGCACCATTTTCAATTTACAAGGTTACATCATTGTTACTTTCATGATATCACAATCAATATCTGACTGGCGCTACCAGTAAAAAAGTGTATACTAAGTATTACACTATTGAGATATACACAAAAATATTTCACTGAGTAAAAGTATGCTTAGGCAATTGACACTGATAATTTGCTTACAATTTATAAAACAATTGTTTTTAGCAGAACCAGTTACTGCATTCAAGAGTAAAATACATTTAATAACTCATGTATTTTTCTCAATCAAAAATACCTGTTTAATACAGGTATATAACAGTAGGTTTTTTGTCATTTAAGGCAGAAAGATACATAATTCGAAGTTTAACTTAACACAATAAAAACTACAAATATTTTGACACAACACAATTAAAATGCATGCATCTGTGTTTCCAACCTGTAGTGACTAAACAATTGGTCACAACTCTTCAAAATCAAGATCAAAATGGGTTTCCAAGGTCAACCAAACGAAGAAGTGTTCTGAAAAATCCTACGAAAATATATCAAAAATCGTTAAAAACAGGGGTTCCAGAAATGTCTGCATGATTTGAGTCGGTCATGTTTAATGGCCAAAGTCGGGTTAACCTGACAGGATTTTAAGAGTGGACAACACTGATACATGTGCAAAATAATGTTTAGTCTGACTTTCTATGTGGACAGACAGAGTTAATTCCCCAAAGCCATCATAGAATGGAATGCTTCCACTTAAAAAACACATGCAGGAATCATAAATATGGTGGTATTAGTCAGATGTCCAATATTACTACTTGGTAAGATCCTGTAAGGTTATCCCATCGCCTTTATTATACTGTTATCAAGACAAGTACAAAAGTAAAGCTGATAATTATCTATGAAAGTTACTAGCCATTTCAATGAATTCATACTAAATGTTCTATAAAGAATTTTCTTCAGTTATATTATAAAAAGTATCCTGATTCACGACATATGTTTTGTTACAGTGTACATGGATGTGATTTGAGGAACAGGTCTTGAGGACTTGTCTATTTTTAAGCCATCCTTCATTAATCTTAATACATACATGCATCATTTTGATAATTTGCGTAGGAACTCTTTAAGTAATAATGCTACAGTTATCAGTGGTTTGGATTTGATGTGTGGCAGAAGTGTTGATGTTCACATAAAAATGTCAGACCTTTTTTCTCTTATTACTTTGAACAATTACAAATCAATTGTAACAAAATGTACAAGAAAATATCACACCAACAAAACTTGCAATATTTAACATCAGATCTTCTGTGTTTGTTTGAACTTTTGTGACTTGCAACACTCCTACATCACAAACATCTACAATTTTAGAGATGGACTTACATCTTGGTCTTGTTTGTATCAAAATTATATTTTTGATTCGAAACTTAGTTAGATTTTACTGTAATGGGATTATTGTATCAATGCTGTTAAAATATACATAAAATATAAAATACATTTCAATTAAAGTATAAAATCGTTACAACATCATGTGAACATGTACTATTATACTCATAATTAGAAAGCAAATACGTTACATAATCATTGTGTTATTTTAAGTAATATGTTTTCAACACATATATTTGACACCATATCTCTCACAAGACTGGACAGTTTTTCATTATCAAAGATTATAAGCACTAAACTACTTCAATAACCTTGGAATGGATCTTCGTATCGATGCTCAACTGGATAATAGTTTGGAGGTCTACAGTATTTTGCAAGATAAAAAGAAATCTTTTTTCTTGATTATCATCACACCATTGAAAACATATTGTATACAAAATTAAAAAAAAATACATGGGTGGGGGAGGTGGTTGGAATGCTGATTGAATTTTCAATTCAAGATTTTTCCCCTTTTTTCCTTTTTTTTTAAAACTCTAGAACTTGGTCAGATACACTGACTTGTTGTCATAGTGACTTTTGGCATAGAATATGAGTTCAGGAATCATTAGTTGCTTAAGATTTAGGAATAGCCATATGATGGAAAAAATGGCTTGTTGTTGTACAACCTGACATGCCCTCTAAAGTGTATTGATCACAGTAGTATGACATACCAGTACATGTGATATTGTCTCTATATACATCATAGAGTCCTGCATATGATTGAAACATTTTATGTCATAAATTAGATTTATGCACTGGTACAACATCAAACTTCTGTGGTATACTACTCTGAAAACTATATCACACATGCCTGTATGGTGGTTAAAAATACACTTGATTATGTGATGACACAACATGGATGCACACCACACTATATCTACAAAATATAGTATTTTGACATATTACATAATTAACGATATTTACAAAATGGTATGTAAATAATAAAATTAAAAAGACCAGATTATGCTTTATCCCTGTGGCAAATCATAAAACAAAAAAAAGCCTGTAAAATACAATTCATAATTGTTCCTTGTGGCTGTTAAATAAGGGAGATGATTGCGTCATCAAAAACAACCATTTTAATTTTGTTTTTGGGATTACTACACACTGACAAGTTTTGTTTTGCTGAATATATGTATAAACTCGTTTACATGTAAACTCGATATAACTATAACATTGTATTCACTATAGTGGTAACTATATACTGTCATTGCAGTAAACATGTTACAGTATGCAGTAGTTAAATATTTATTGTACTGTACAAACACAACTTGAGATAAAACTTTTAAAATTATTCATCTCAAATGTAAAGTAAACAAAGAATCAACAACATCACAGATAAGGCACCATAAATGGCAAAATAATTCTAAATAGAAGTATCACAGCATAGCAGACTGACAATAATAGACTGCTACAGAAGTTTAACATAGAAATATAAAAAAAACAAAACTATCAACAAATCAAGTATGGCTTTTAGAAGAAATAAAACTTTGCTGTAATTTTTTTACAACAAAAATTGCCACCTTATGGGGTGTATCATTAAAAAAAAATATTATAGAATGATTGAAACATGTTTATCAAATGAAAAAATATGAATTTTTACATGATAACTTCATTACTTCAACACACTTTTGACTGGATCTCAAATTATTGATTAGAAGTAAAAATGAGTAACCAATCAAATGAGTAGATGTATGATAAAACCAAACTTTCAAGAAATGTCACAATGTTATTTCAATAAAATTTCAGAGTATACATTGAAAAAATAGATGATTATTTTAAACAGAAAATTGGTCCCTGGTGGTTATTTTGTTAGGTTTTAACATATATTTACTTTATAATTTTTCTAGAATAAAAATATTCCAATTTTTATACACAGATCTGTATATAAAATGCTCTTAACATTGAACTTCAGGAATCCATGGTTCAGCAATCTCATTTTCTATATTTTCTAACAAGAGGAGCTTCATTCATCATCCATTCATTTAAAATTCTTTCACTCATTTCTTTTCTTATATTTTTAGTTACATGTAGTCAATACTTCAAAACATCGAAAATCAAATACTAGCATGAAAAGTATTTGTATATAAATTGTTTGGTTTGAGTAGCACATTGAGGAAATCAAAAAGCTGTATACATACAATATCAACAATTAAATAAGTAAATGTTTAATTATGTTCCAATATATATAACCTCAAAATCAACCAAAAATATATCACAGTGATGTTTTTAATAAGGTTGTTATTTCACACCTGTTGTTTAATCGCTATAATTTTACAAAAATGGGGAAAAAAAATCGGTAACACATTTTGTATATGTAACTCTACAAACTGTACACAAGAAGTGTTAACTATGAACTATTACTTGATGACTAGTAACAATGTGATTGCGCGAGATATTTTATATTCCAGTCTTGGTATATAAGGTGAATACCAAGGTATACAATGTTGTTACCAAGGTATACGATGTGGTAACCAAGGTATATAATGGGTTATCAAGGTATACAATGTGGTTACCAAGGTATACAATGCGGTTACCAAGGTATATAATGTGGTTACCAAGGTATACGATGTGGTTATCAAGATATGTAATGGGTTATCAAGGTATACGATGTGGTAACCAAGGAATACAATGTGGTTATCAAGGTATACAATGTGGTTACCAAGGTATACAATGTGGTAACCAAAGAATACAATGTGGTTACCAAGGTATACAATGCGGTTACTAAGGTATATAATGTGGTTACCAAGGTATATAATGTGGTTACCAAGGTATACAATGTGGTTACCAAGGTATACAATGTGGTTATCAAAAAGATTCTAATTGTCTTCCTTTCTTTCTTTGCATGAATGATAAATAGAACAGAAGTCATTGAAGAAAAACACCAAAAAACTATCTATTGTATTTGTACAAAAATATTTACAAAAGAAATGTAAGTCTCTAAACCATTGAAAGTATTTTTAGATATAATTCCCAAATTGCATGAATGATAAATAAAACAGGAGTCATTTAAACACTTAACAATAAACTTATCTACTGTATTTGTACAAAAATATTTACAAAATAAGTGTTAGTCTCTAAAAAATTATCAACAGTATGTTCACTGTTAATTTTCAATTGGCCAGAACTTTAAGTGAAAAAGACATATAAGGCTAAGAATTCAGATATGAAAAATGATGTTATAACAGACAAGTATATTTACATACGTAATGTGGTACGTTTAACAAGTATCAACCTGTTATAGAAAAGAACTATCAAATGAAATCTTTAATAAAACACCAACATTATCTTGATCAAAATTATATACATATATGTACAAAATGCTACTATATGTAGGTAAGCGAATTTGGTCCTTAATTGATACAATGTGTTTTGTTTGTACAATACCTTTCAAGTGTCATAACTCAATGATTTGATGTAAACAAAATATAAGTCAAGAAAAACCAAAATAGAAATGTACATATTATCAAATGTAAACTTCGCTTTTTTTAATTAATGAAAGGATACACTTTATGAAAAAGTTGTTGGCCTCTTATAACGTAAATGGAATGATCTATTCTCATATTAGCACCGTACAAAATTAAGCAGCTGGTCAAAAGTCCGCAACTGCTCATATTTTAGTTCAGCATCTGATCAAAGTTCAGCAGCTTCAAAGTTCATTTACTGGTCAAAGTTCATTCACTGGTAAAGTTCATTGGTTGATGATCATGTCCTTTCCTGAAGGGATGAAAACACAAGGGGTTATCATTCTCAACATGCTTCCACAGGTAAAACATCGTGCTTTCATTCAATGGTCAAGGTTCTTTGGGTTGATGATCATCTCCTTTCCTGGAGGGATGATAACACAAGGAGTTATCATCCTCAGCATGCTTCCACAGGTTAAACATCGTGCACGGAGGCGTACACATCTAGATGTGTCCAAACACTCAAGCTCGATACACTGAGCATCATTATGTCCAGATAAAAACTTGATTTTGATTGGAAGAAATGGTTGTCTGAATGACCTCGTTCCCGTCTTAATGAGGAAATCCACATTAGCCTTGGTCTGTATCCGGATGCCATTTTGGATGTCAGCTGTTCTCTGGTTGGTTGCTGTCATGTCCTGCCGCCCCTTGACGTGACATTGAGTGTCATGCTCTACAATGATCAGTGCCTTTCCACCTTTTTGAATCTCTAGTCCACCTCCCTGTGTCACTATTTCTGTTGGTCTGCTGACGTTTTTACAAATGTATGTATTTATTTGTCTCTCAACTAATGCATCCCTGTACATCAGTTTCACGTGTCCCATGCTGTTAGAGGGCAGTCTGTCAACACTCTTCCATTTTATTTGGATAGCTTGTTGATTTTCATCCAACAAAGCCTGAAGTGGTTTTATATATGTGGGCTGTTTCTTTTCTCTATCCAACAGCTGTATTGTGAAATAGTTTGTGTCACACATCATTTGAAGCATGTTTGGGTGGCAATTTTCACTCATCACCTCTAGAATGTTTTCATCTTGGGTTGTGAAGTAAACACCCGAACCTTTGTATTGCAGAGCAGGATTTCTGTTAACTTTGATACCGAGAGCTGACTTGAACAGAATGTTCAAGTTAGCACCCATGTCCTCTGGGGATATTGAACATATCAACCAACCGTCTTCAAACTTGATCGTTGTCCTATTAGATTCAGACCGGGCAAACTGGAAATCCACAAAGCCTGCCATCAAAGCTTCTTTTCCTTCTGTTGTATTTATGATATCACCCAAGCAAGATAAAATGTTTGGTAGAATGTTTTCGACATAGCATAAGTCAGGTCGAATAGGATCGGGGCCATCATACTGTTTCTTTCTCCATTTATCTTTCTCATGAGGTTGGGCAATGCTTGTTTCAATGAAGATTTTCACCTCCACTTCCAGAACATGAACTGCTGTTGTCAACAGGATTTCATAGAACATACCAATATCTTTGAAGTTTTGAAATGCTACTGTCAGTGCGTTGCCTTGTCGGAGATAAACATGGGGTTGACTTTTCTCCTTCGGTTGTATTATCCTCACAACAGAAGCGTCTGGTCTGAAATCATCTGAAAGTTTTGTCAGATGGAGACTTGATATCTTTATAAGCGACATTTTGGATACTTTGTTTCTGTTTTCAACTATATTGCATGGCAAGCCTTCTTTCCGATATGTCCATATCAGGACATCTTCCAGAGTTCTGATAAAACTTTGCACATTCAGTAGATTTTCATCTTTGTTAGCTCTTTTAGATTCAAATAAGTCGTCCCAGTTGATGACAAAGTGATCAATGTGATGTACTCGTTGTAAGCAGTTGATCCTATAAAAAGAGTCGTACATGACCGGAATTGTTGAAGACACGCTGCTTAGCTGTATATCCTTCGTAAGCGCGGGGAACAACTTGATGAATAATCTTTCGGACCCAAATAATTCAAGAATATCTAGTGCGTCGTGACCCATCACCGCTTTTGTGGGCAGTTTGCTAAGTGCTCTCATCAGAGCATTCTGGTCCACTATCTCGTACATTTTTCCAAGGCAAGATACGAAGCGGATGTGCTGTGAGTGGTCAGTATGACTCCTATCCATCAACTTGCTCGTTGGATACATAAATTCATAGCATTTCGATACGTTTGTTTCGTCTTCAATATCACCTTGTGACACTTGTTGCATTTCGAAGCGGTTAGAATAGTTGTAATCTTCTATGCATTTGTGACTGCGATCTGTTTTATACTTCCGCAAAACTAGTGTTTTATTTGATTTAGAGGTCTTGCCGTTTCTTTTCTCGTAGTCCTTCCATATCCCTGATGGCACGTCGAGGTCCTGCATATAAAATGAATACGATGTATATGGACCAGACAGCACCTGATTCATCGCTTCTTCATATACAATGATCAATTTTTCTAGAAACTCCTTCATTGATCGCTGGACGAGTTCATGTGGATGCGCAGCCTCTCTTCTGCACTTCAACAGTAACGGGGCAAGTATCCTTTTCTCATCAAAGAGAATGTCTATACTGAAACCAAATCGATTTTCTGCAACTTTTCTAGCGTTTGCTATATATTCTTTAACCATTGAGTAAGTTTCCTTCTGCCAGTCTCCATGACTAAGCTGTTTGTCTTCCAAGTCACCAAGTTTTGCTGCAGTTCGGCCATCTTCAACTACCCAAGTTTTCTTTGCGGTTTGGTGGATATATACCGAGGCAGTGACAGACTTCCCGTGAGTATCAAGACTGATGCCGGTGTAAAGTGCAGATGCAGAGTTCTTTACTGTGACATGATTACTGTCGATGGTTAAACGCAACATTGCCTGGGTTTCGCAAGCCATCACTTGAAGCTCTCTTGCTATCCCATGACCAACCAGGTCCATGAATGTTTTCTCGTCTGTCGTTTGGAAGGAACTCCATTCCATTTCAAACGTTACATCTCTTTTTCTTCGAAGGTGGAGAGAAAATACCCATTCTTTGTTATAGGAAGGTAAATATGATATTCTGTAGATACTGTCACAGAATGCAACACATGCAGTTCGGTATCTGTTTAAATGGAACCAAAGTGGAAAGGTGGTTCTGTCGTACTTCAATGTTGACCTTTCCATGGAAAAATTCCACAAAATGTTGCTGTCAGGTGCGGTAACCCGCGACTTCTTTTGTCCATCTGAAACAGAAATGCTATCTACTAATGTAACCGTGATAAATTTCACTACGGTGACTGGTTTCAGAGCTAACGTTACCGTCTCGTCATTGAACAAATGTTTGATGGTATCTTTTGTTTCGATGCAGTCATTCAGAACATCCTGTAGACCTCCCAGTTTGTTGTTGAAGTTATCTCCAGTCAGTGCTTTCATGGCAGTTTCAGATCCGCTTGTTCGCTTGCGTGTGTCAATAGAGTTCCAATCTACTCTGATTCGTATTGGCATTCCAAATTCAGTCTTAATCTACAATATAGAAACATCATTCCATTTAGATATGTACTCTTTAGATACTTGTCAAACTCACTCATTTGGAAACAAAAGAAAACTTGTAATTTCACTGTTCCTTTCAATTATGCACAGAAGAATCTACATGCGATACCTTTATTGACTATCTTTTGCATTATATGTGTACAACTATAAAGGTTATAGAGAATTACCTGTTGTTCCATAGCAGGTATGACATCGCTCTGGACAATATCCTTCAGTGAAGTCTCCTTCGCACGGATAATCAAGCTGGGATCAAGTTGCAATACTGGCGTCTCATTGTGAATAGCAACTGCAATGCTGTCTAGCAGTGTCCCATTTGTTTCGAAACTCAGCTTCGGATGATCTGAAGATCCAGGTGGTAGACAAGCGACTTTAATGGTATTTACTGTCGCTGTTTTTGGATCATCGGTATTCAACGCGTCCTTCACATGACCGAATATCTGACTCGAAGATATGAAGCACCCAATCCAGATGTTTCCTTTTTCTTTGAAATAAGAGTGCTTTCGAAAGCTCTCTTTATCTGCAACAAACTTTTTGCCATTAATTGTGTCAGGAAGAAGTTTGTCAATAATTATTCTTTCTTCTATAAATGACCTCAGTGGATCGGTTTCCTCTAATGAAAGCCAAACATCAGGAAGCGTCAACCGTTCACCATGTTCAATGTCCTTACTCCATTCATCGTTCCCAGGAACTTGATCCCCTATCAACCAGAGAAGCTTCTGCGGAATGGCATCTATCATGTTTTGGAAGGAATTGAATTGTTCTATCTGTCCTAACGACTCTGTAAATCTGAGTAAGCGTATACTCAGTGCAATATTACCAAATGCCACCGCAGATTCAATTATTGATCTTGTCCCGATGGCATTCGTAATGAGAGAGTTCAATCGCTCCTGACACTGCTCGAGGAGATGATAATTCCCATTAACTGCTGCTGTCTCAAATACATCAAATGTTTGCTCATCATTTAACTGTGGAATAAATTTGATAGCTAATTCATTGAAACCAAATCTAACTGCTTTCTTTGCTGCCTCAGATGGATCTGTGAGTGATCGGAGAATGATCCACTGCATCGTTTCTTCATTTGCTTTGTATCCCATGGAGAAAAGTGCTGATTTCACAAGGTTGCTGTCAAGTCCACACAGTTTGCTTATGTAGTGGATTTTATGCAATCGATAGGTCTTTTCTTCTGAATTGACTTCACACATATGTTGGACGTCAATTGGTACTTTACATATTCTCATTGGCATATGCTCCAAGACATAGCCTCTGTTGTTTTTCTTTTGAAAAATAACTCTTGTATCTTCATCCTCTGTTGATATCATTTCAGAATCACCGCTGTGATAGATTTTAGACCAACCAATGCAATTATCTAACAAACAATCAACACACCCATAGTCAATTCGGTTTCCTCCATGTTTGTCATGATTAGAAGAGACTGATTTCAATTTGTTCTTAGTCAATAACCGGAACGTTCTATGATGACCTAGAGCAACAGCAACAGCTAAAGGTGTTACCTTTTGCCTGTCCTCTTCAGATATCAGTTTGCCGTCTGTTTTGTCATTGACATGTTTTGCGATGGAAAGATTTCCGGTTTTGACAGCCAGATGGAGTATGTTTTCCAGAGAAAATGTTTCTCTCCATGTTAAACATGCCTCCTTTTCCATCAGAATATCAACCCCTTCCATATTTTGTGAGTAAATAGCCCAGCCTAGTGGCGTTAAACCATTTCCACGTCTACCAGTTGCCGACCTCTTCGCTTGTCCATCGCTCAGTTTTCCATCCATCAGCAAAAGCGATTGGAGGTTATGTTTGCTGTCTGTAGTAGTTTGTAATACGTCACATAGAGCTCTTAAAGCTTTATTGCATTTATGTGCTGCTGCTTGTATGAAGATTTCAACACACTTTTGTGGCTCATTTTCTGCTAAGCGAACAAACTCCCAAGAAGACCATTTGATAATATTTTCGGATGCATGGTCATCAGTGCGTAAAAGTAGATTTTGCAGTGTGAGTTCTCTCAGAGCAAACACATGCGGTGAAATAATCACTTCAGAAGAACTCTGTTGAATGAGAGAGTTTTCTTTAAGAAGACATCTCAGCCAGCCGACGCATTCAGAAGCAAGTTGTTTAAGAGTTTGCGTGGAACCCTTGAATAATTGTGGCCTTCCCATCGCATTTGCGTAGTCTTTAGGAGTCAGGCCCCTGATGTCGGTATTCCCCAGCGCTGATGGTCGTTTCTCTATTATAACCGACGCCAATTTTTCCATTCCATAGTAACCACAATAATGTAACGGTGACATATTGCTATTATCAGTCGAACATTCGTCTGCTGATTGCTTTTCAATAAGATAAATGCATAGATCTTCATATCCTCTGCTTGATGCTGTCTGTAGCATTAGGTCCCATTCTCTCGGTGTGACACATTCATTTTTGGTCATGGACAAGAATTGAGTCATCTGATGTACAATTCCTGGACTGCCCGTCTTTCCACTTTGCTTGATGCATTCGTCGACTTGAAGAGTTCTCAGAAATTCCTTTTCGGTTTTCAGAACACTCAGTATCTCTTTAAGTGTACTTTCTGACTTACTGTAAAATACATATTGCAAAATGTTCCACGAATTCTCATGGCGCTTTCCGAGAATATCACGTATTGGGTATTCATCCATGGAGCCAACGGTCGGCACGTTGTGCCGTAGTAAGTACTTTACAACATCAGTCTTTCCAGCCCGACAGGCTAGACAGAGATACGCAGTAAAACAAGACCTTTGCTCAGCTGTCATTCTGGGTATGTGGAGTTTGTCCAATATCGACCTGAGGAACGGGAGTTGTCCACGCTCCGCTGCGGTCGCAAGAATGGAATGCCATTTGTCACTGAGACTTCCTTCGTTTTCAAACGTTTGAAACAGGACATGTTCAAGGAAAACCCATAGATTCTTCTGCACCGCTAGCGATCCTATGCCTGACGACAAGTTCAAGCTGTATTTGCCCATGATTTCCTTTAATTCCTTGTCAATTCTAAGTTGATTAATACCATCGCTAAAATTCCGTTCATCTTCTGGGCTAGCAAAAATGAATATGCAATCGACAACGGAATATTTCCACAGTATTTGTTTCTTCATTGCCTTAATAGTGTTGGCAACGTTGCTTTTTTTGAGTTCTTTTAAGATCCATGACTTCTGCATCATCACGAGAGATAATATGCTACTGGGATTAATGTCTGTGATGTGATTCAATAACAGAGTAAGTAGTGACTCCGCATATTCCTCAGGTAGGTATGTGTCGTTTACTGGGTTTAGATAAAGAAACGAGTCCAACGGATGTGTTCTCAGCAACACATTACGTAAAACATCAATGTGTTCCATCACTTGCTCAATATCGTTACCTACCAATTCATCTTGCTTCAAACAACTCTTTAATATTTTCTGCTTTTCTTGCCATATGGTGCTAGAATAAAGTTCGCCCCATCGAAAAGGAGAAAGTTTCACATCAGTTTCCTTTGTGTGATCTTCAAAAAATTCACGCTTTTCATCATAAATATGTGCGAGAAGTTGTGAAAATGCACGATCAAGTAAATTTCTTTTTTCTGAAGACGCCATTTTCCATATAAAGGGTTCTAATGATTTTTCGGCTATTTCACCAGTCATGTTTTCTTTCAGCACATCTATTACTTCCTTGCTTCCCCCAATCACTGCATAAGCAAATGGAAAGTAACCCTGATCATCCTTTTGCCTGAAAGCATCTGGATGTATCCTTAGGATCTCCTGTACAAGCTCATAGTTTCTTGTAGCACATGCAGCATGTATAATATCGCATCCTGCTGCATCCGCTGCCTGTGCTATCTTTAAGAGTCTTTTAACAGCAACTTTTTCAGGATCGGTTTTTGTGGAATGTCTATTTTCCTTTTGGTTTGTGTTTGTATCAGAAACAGTCTCTTTTTTGTCGCTGAAGAAAGAACTCGAAGATGCAAGACACAAGGTAACATTGTTTCCCGCATTTGAAGAAATATCAATTCCGTTCTCGACGCTTGCGGTTTTCAACCTCGTACCCTGTCCAGTCTGAACGTCTTGTTTTCCATAAGCACATTGTTTTGGCTCAAAACCAGGTATTGCTCTTTCGTTGTATCCGTTTGCTCCAGATATAAGCAGCAGTGATGCTGTAGACCAGTGTTTGTTTGCAAGAGCATACCAAAGAGCGGATGCGTCGGCTGAATCATACTGATTAATAATTTTCTTTCTGCTTATGTTTGCCGGTATACGTTTCAATATGGTCTCTAAGCCACGTGTATGCCCGATTTGTGATAAATAGTGTAAAATTGTCATTTCATGCTGGTCAGACTGACAACACATTTCTAACCATTTTTCGTTTCCGGTAATTAACGCGTCAAGCAGTTTCACCATACTATCCACTAACTTGAAATCGGACCGTTTTGTAATGGTTTGAAGCAAGAATGGAATTGGAGTTGAAGAACTCTCGGTAGCTGAAGAGAAAAACTTCACTGAAGCCTCCACTATCATCCGTAAGAGATCCTTTGGCGCTTCTAAAGCCCATTCCGGTTTTCTTAAAAGAAACAAAATAGATAGTTATGAACAAAATGAAAATTAAACATTTTATGTCTTACAGTAATTAAAAAGCAAATTTTTGAACTCAAATATACACAATATTGTTAAAAATGAAAATAAAGTGGGGAAATCCAAGGTTCAAAAAGAGGACAATACGGCCAATCAAATGTATATCATTTAAAATGTTCAAATCATGATACAATCAGTCACGTCACATCATGGCATCAGTAACATAAACACTAACAATCTATAGTTTTAACCAATAACGCATCACTGAAAAGCTTGTATCAGACCTCTCATACGACCTATATTTAACGGGGACCTTTTTCATACTAGTTTTAAAAGTTCCAAACCGAAAGTGTTAGAAAATTGCGGGAATGAGCAGTGATATTTGACTCATTATTCTCACGACATTTCAATGGACATTAAGTCTGTAGGGAATGCAACGCATCGTCTTTAAATATTTTACAACTTTTAATATCCTTTAAATAACCCTTAATTTCTATGAACCTTGCTAAGCGACTGCGAAATTGCCTATTGCACAAACACTGACACTATTTTACAATAGCATATATTAGTGTGGGTATACCTGTCGCTTCTTATGCCTTGTAACATGGGTAAGACTGCTGCTCCAGCGTTTACAGTGCATAGAAATTCGGCCACACTCCAGAGTTTTGACTTTAGGGCAGCTCCTAGAGGATTGTCTCCGGAGTCGGAACAGTACGAGGGTTTTACTTTATCGTTTCTGTAACTCACATAGAAATTTTTTTTAAATATGTGTATAAGTCACAGGACCTTAATTTCCGGTATAATATCAAGCATTTTTGAAATGCAAATAAATAGTATAATAGCAATCGAAAGCAATGGAAACAATTTCATAAATCCATCACTTATGCAACACAATGATTCTTTGATATTTGAGGCGGCATAACAATTATATAGTAAATAATAAGCTTACACGTGATAATCAAACTCAGTGACATGTCTCAGTTTTATTGTGTCCGATTCAAACACCCAAAACAAATACACCTATTAAATCGAAGGTCTTCATGATTCAGTAAGATAAATTATCTTCATGGCTTTACAAACATAAATAATAGAGAAACTTGTATATAATGAAATGGCTTTGCTATCTGTTAAAAATGCTATTACAATTTAAGTGACCATGACATTTACCCTTGATTTACCTAATGAATTAAGCGTGAAGTAATTATTCTTGATATTATATAATTGTAATTTGAGTTGTTTGATATACTGGATTCCGACGTAGAACACCTGTATTACCTGCTACAAAGATCCTTTGCTATCTTTAGCCTGTGTTTCTCTAAGGCCGAGGTTTCCCCATAGACAGTGTGTAATCGATCCATCCAAAAGTGCATATCTGTGGTCAGATAATAGGAACAAAGGTCAGTGTAAATTACACATACGTGTTCATAATAGTTTACTTGTAATGTAAATGTAATATTGATGTAATAAAGAGAAATAAATATTTTTCTGGCATTCATATCATAAAAATAAAGAAACATTTAAATTCGCAGCCCTTATAAATCAATACAAACGAAGCCTATCTTTGAAAAAAAATTGCAAGGTAAGTTGTACATGTGATATAAATGTGCGTTGTGGAAGCCGAGTTGCACGGTTTCCAAACTCCACACAACTATTATATTAAAAGGCATTGCTTCCTTTTATTAAACTGATATTAATTTGAATGAGTGTAACCTTTCTGTCATATCACGATTATCGCGACGAATTTGAAATTAAAACAAATTAAAACGTTTAGGTCCGTATTTGATACACATGTACGAGAAAAAGAATTTAATGGAAATGGAATTTACAGTGCTGACAATATGTAAAATCAGATTTCGGTCTTCACACAAAAGATTAAGATTCCGCTGCAGATTTAGCCCTCCACTGACCTCTAACAGCTCAATTGGCCTCGGATGAAATGCGTTAAATTTATTATAATTTTAGTTTACCTTTGTGTCTGTCTTTGGCGCAGCAAGCGAGGAGAGTATCACTGTTGATTTCAGCTTTCTTGTCAATTAGGAATTTGTACACAGGCCAGTTTCCACACGCAGCTGCCACATCAACTGCCCTGATGCCATTGGTCGACACCTTGTTGATGTCAATATCTGTGCCACACTAGAACAAACAATAGGAAAAGGACATATAAATACTGACAAAGGACTTGGTGGTCATCCATTCATGCCATACTATATATATATGTATCCTGGTAATTATGCATGCAAAAGAGTAGTGATAGCAATAGTGTGGTCAAGAAAATGTTTCAATTCCTCAACACAATCTGCACCTGGGGATCTGGGAATGTAGTTAATTGGTATCTCTTCTCCTTCAGACACAAATAAGTCATTACTAATACATAATCCCTAGTCCTTTGACCAGACACATTTCGACATTTTGCCAAAACAAATTTACTTTTAGCTTTTTAGTTTTTAAGATGATGAACATTAGCGCATACGAAAAATATACATACCTTGATGAAGTCCTTCACGTACTCTACGTTGTCCAGCGCACACACCATATGGAGGAGATGAAGACCTTCAGGCAGATCCACAGGAACATATTCAACCTTTCCATTGGCAGCCAACCTTTTGTCATATCCACACCGACCACTGATCGAAAGATCACAACATGTACGGATGAAGCAGCTGATACCATCTCGACAAGTCGGTTGTTTGAAGAGTTTGCTATCGACATGTTGAAGAATATTGAAGATATTTGGCAGCATTTTAATCAACCTGAATATATCGGGAGTGCCCTTGCGTTGTATTGACATTAACTGTGCGATGTAAACTGCCTTTTGGAGAAAGGGATCCTTTATGTTTTCTACTTTTGATCTCGTTATTTCATCCATATCGTCTAGTGGACCGGTATCTTTATTAAATTCCTTGATTCCAGTTTGTAATAAGACCTGAAGGATTGTCTTTGGTACCTCTGCAGAACATGCTAATAACAACATATAATCGATATATTGTGGTTCATGCATGTGATTCATTTTCCGGTCCATCATCCTCTTTTTGAAGGAATGTTGAAATCGACATGGCGTCTCACTCATTGCACATTTCCATATCGTTGAAACATCTTTATTCAAAATACGTTCCGCTACCTTATAGAACTTTCCTTCCATAGCTGCGAGAAAACATTCGCAGCAACCATGCAGGAATTTGTCGGCGTTTGTCCTTTGAGAATGAGTATTGAGATAAACTTTGCCTAAATTAATCCCTTCGTCTATTAATTGGCAAGCGATGTCTTCTATTTTCGATTTGAGGAATATTCTCGATTTTCGGTCGTACACTCTTGAAAGAATTTTTCCAAGAGAGGTCGATTCTGGAAATTTTTTCTTTGGTATATCAAATAGCAGATACTGTCTGTTCACTGGGTGTTCTGTCAGAATTCCTTGTGTGTTTTGTTCCATCATTTCAGGATACAGCTTGCCAAGAACTTTTATTAAATCAGTCGTGATGTGTGGGCTTCGACAAGCAATGTCTAACAAAACGCGTTCGTCAATTTCATCTTCGTCTTTGTTATCATCCTCTTCGTCGTCTTCGTCTTCATTTTTGTCTTTCTTTTGAGAATAAGTTTTCCTTTTGACTGTCTCAAGCATTGCATGGTGTCCCTTGTAAGCTGCTATCAACAATGCAACAGATTTGTTTCTTCTGGAAGATTTGTCTAGAACCATCTTAAATACATCTTCATCGTTGTTTCTCACGACAACTTCTAATGGCGTATATCCCTTTAAATAACACTGTTTGTAGCAGAATTTGCCCTTTTGAATTGAACAGCCGTCGTGAGTGACTTTACCGGTCTCCAGCCTTTTGTCAACAAGATGACCTTTTGCAATCAGAGAACTTAGTAAAACCTTCCTTGTGTTGTCGCTCTTGCTCTTTTTCTTTTGCATAAGAACTCTGTACACTAGACTTGGGTTAGGCTGTGATGGTAGCAGGTCTAGTAATGTTTGTACAACTTTCACCGATCCTCGATCAATAGCGAGTTCTATTAAACTTCTACCGAAATTATCAGTTTGATTGATGTATTCCGGGTTAAATTTCACCAGTTTCTTTACCAACAAAATATTTCCTGTTTTCACAGCGTTAAACACGGGCGAGATGACTTCTTGTTGAAAGATGTAATGGTGTTTAAAAGCTTTGTGAGCAATCTTGCGTATTTCACCCTCTCCTTCATGCCGTTTTTTCCCTGCCAACGTGCATTTGTGAGGTCTAGAAAAACAAGAGCATTGCATATTCATTATAAATTTATCACGACATAATTTGAGAAAACGTCTGTCGACACAAAAAACATAGCGGGGAACATTATTAGCTGAATGATACATTAATACATGTTCGTATGAAATAGACAGAGTTGTCTTAATATTGCTTGATAACTCTATCAGCAAAGTCAGCAAAGAAAGAAATTGCGCATTAAAAACATGGTTGATAAACTTTTTTGATTCTCTATTAAGATTTTGCATAATTGATGAATATATATCAATGGGGGACTGACAGGAGTAAGTATTTACCCTCGGTATGCTGAAAGCATGCCTACGAAATCTTTACATCTCGTGCACGCGTTTGTCTCCTTCTTTGGTGACTTTCTAGGTTTCAAATTTGTTGTTGATTCAATGCCTTTTCGAGAATTCCACGAAGCCACTCTCAATCCATGATTGAATGGTCCCTCCAACTTCTCGTCGGTCTCTGAATCCGTAAAGTACACTTTCCCCTTTTCCTTAGACATATCCAACACCGTCGCTCGAAAGCGAGAGACAATAATTTCTCGACACCACCCAGAGTGTTTCACCGAATCCACCCAGAGAGTTCTTTTGAAGTACTTTCCTTTCTCTGTTTTCTCAACAGAGAAGTATTTCGCGAGGACGAGATCTGCTATTTTTTCCGGCATCCCGACAAGATGATGAAGTATACACTGGCCGTAGCTGTCAGTGGCTGATATGTTAATTTTGCTGGCATAATTAGAAACCAAGAACTGGACTACTTCAAATTTTCCAGAATACGCAGCTGCGAGCAGTGGTGTTCTTCCACTTGCATTCTGATTGCCTGCTTCAACTTGTTTATTTGAGCTCAACAGCACTTTGACGGACTGTAGATGCCCTTTTGCGCATGCATAGTGCAGTGGACTTCCTCCTCGCCAGTCAACCGCATTTGGATTACAGTTTCCATTCAAAAGCTCATTGATGGCTTTACAACTATCGCGCTCTGCTGCTTCATGTAATGGTGATCTCCCCATGAAATCCCTGTCGTTGAAGTTTGCTCCGATTGACTTCAAAAGCATTAAGGAATTTGGTAGGTTGTGACGAGCACAGTCGAATACGTAAGTCTCCAGTACTCCATCTTCCTTCTGCAACAGGGGAATTACGTTCTTTAAAAGTTTTTCCCAGTCTTTAAGTTCTTTTTCTCTGCTCTTTCCGTCTTTGCTTACTTTGCTAAGTATTGTGTCAATGTGTTCTATTAGGGTACACACAAAACTTTCGTCCATGACAAGGGATGGTTTCATCATTTGTATTTCTGAACAGATTGTATAACACTTCTGTTTCACTGCTAGAGATACACCTTTGCATACATCGGAATCTTCCATGTCCGGATACAGGAGCAAATATGCAACATCTTCATTTCCTTTAGCACATGCTCTATGAAACGGTAAAAATCCGTTCACATCTCTCTTTGATAAACTAAACTTATTTGAAATCAGATGTCCCACAACATCCTTGTCACCCATGTCAGCCGCGATGTGTAATAGATCTTCACCGAGATTGTCGTCAACAACAGGTTGAACGCTCGCAGTTATTTTTCTTGAGATTTTTATATCCCTTTTCTTTAAGGCAAACCACGTAATATGATATTTCAGGACTTCGTCAATACAGTCTGTTTGAAGTTTTGAAATGATGAAATCCAGATCCTTGGAAGACTGCTGAAGTAATAAATCTATACAGCTATTTCCATATACGTCTTTCCGTGTCAAGTCGGAGTTTAACTGGAGAAGATATACAGCAGTCTGTAGCTTTCGCCTGTAGAGAGCACAGTGTAGAGGAGTCTTTTGGTTCACGTCTTGCTGAAAGATAAGATCTTTGCCAATAGCGGCTATCAATAACTCACAAATCTCTAGGTGACCACTCTCTGCGGCATAATGGAGAGGAACGGCGCCTCTCTGATCCTTCAAGTTTTGCACGTAGGTATTCCCTGGTAGTTGATGAATTGCGGTCTCCAGTTCTTTCTTCTGGTTACATGCGGCATAACCATGAATAGCTGTAGCCCGGTTTTCTGAAACGACATTATTTTGAAATGAGACGTCGATTAATTTGCCGATAATCTTAACAATATAATAGTGAACACAAAATTTTCCACGCTAAGAAATTGGGTAATATTTCTAATTCAATGGAAGAGAATTGAACTCGAGAAGCAACAACAGCATATCATGATAATACACCAGCGTGTTTTACCGACGAGTTTTTCCTTCCAAGACATTATGTCGCTTGGAATAAAGCTAAAACCCTCCAACATGCCGGCACTGAGTTCCTCTTGAAGTTTGTCTGCAGGCCAATGGCTAACCTTACTCCGCTCAAACAGGAAGACCACGCACGCACATGTTACCAAATGACGTCTCCCATCGATGTCATGTGACAACTGCAATGAGAAATAAAGCATTCATTTATATTCGATTCGTAAACTTCACAAGAATATATAAAGACATCGTTTGATTGCTAGCTCGTCTAGCTGTTCAGCCAAACATTTGTCCTGTCATCTACTACTATTCTTAATACAATCAAATATGGGCCATAATCTTATTGTAATACTATTTACTCAAAAAGTGGAATTAATGATATTGAAATTTTAAAGAACTCCAAACAGCATTTGACCAATCTTCAACACACTCTTCTGCTATGAGAACGTTTAATATTTCCAGTCTGCACTTAACCATATCCAATTCAAGGAAGAAATATGCAGAAAATAATTGAGTTGCTGATTGACAACATCTTCGTCAAGTTTGGTGGTAAGATCCTTCAATAGGCTATTAGCATTCCTATAGAAACTAACTGTACCTCTTTGTTAACTTACGATGTTAAATCTATCGAAGAGCTTTTCTTTGTGCGATATGAAGCTGGACGTGTTTTATGCTGGGGTTTTTTGCCTGTTGGTTCCGTTGCTGTATACCTTGTTCACATTTGAGGCTGTGACTTGACTTAAATTGACCAAAATTTACATGGTTGGTGTCGTCGATAACAAAAAACACTCACGCTTCCTTAACCTTCATGTTATCTCAGAGTCGCAGTGTTATTCTTGCTTTTGTTCATATTTTGCCCTACTTTTATTGAATTTTAAATCATGGTTATATTCACAGTCTTACCTCTTTGTAGTGCACGCCCGGATATAAAAAGCTGTCGGATGGCATTTTTTGTCGGCGATCTGTCCTATTGTAACTTTGTGTTACTGCGAGATTTGGTAGCTTTGGCAAAATGTCAAATATGGTCAGCTGTCTCTCTCTGGAATTGATGACTTCTTTGGTCTTACAGAGGAAAATAAAACCCCCATCAAAGTGTGTTTTGAAGTGTGCGTTGACTGGTCGCCTGAGTTCTGACAGCTTACTATTTAAATTGACCGACATGTAATGGTAGGCTACACAGGGCTGTGTCCGACTGACCAGTTGGAATCTGACCAGCAGGCCCTTTCTTTCACCAGGGGTGGTGGGACGTGAAGAGTACAAGTACACACTTTCGCTGTCGTCATCTTCACGCTCCAGCCCCTTTGTCCTCTCAATTACTCTGAAACAAAACGTCAACATGTCATCCAAGAGCAGAATATTAAAATCTGAAAGTTTTTAGTCTAAGCGTGCAACCATTGTAGAACCAAACAAGCATATTCAATTACACAATATTCAGTATATGACACAACACAACAGTTCCTAATAAACACGAAGTTCTGGAAAAATAAAGACCACGACCGCGGGCATATTCAACTACTTAAGAACGCAGCGCAGAAGACCATAACAAACAAATTCAGTGACATAAGGGTGTAAAATTCAATGTATATCACCGTAGAACACAACAAATATGTTCAATTACCAAGGAATACAACGGTCATGTTCAGTTATTTTGGAACGCAACAACCATATTCGGTTATCAAGGAACATGAAACTCAGGGCATGTTGTTGTAGAACACAACAGCTACGTAAGTTACCAAGGACCAAAATGTTCAGTGTATTTCATCGTGGAGGATATATAATAATATAAGTAATCTCTTTAAACACTGGTGTTAAATGTTAAAGATGACAGAAACTGCATGCGTGAACAATTACAGCTAGCAAATAATTAAGTAGGTTTAACGTGTAATGAAATTAAAGTCTAAAGACAAATACACATCAGAAACCGTCAAATTTCCATTTATTTGTGTATAGAAAGAAGTAAATAAATACAGTCAATAAATATCCCCTGCAAATCTCATAAATAATGACTATTCGCAGATAAGCATATGGTATTGTATGTCAGTCTCTACTTGACGGCCATAACGGCAGTTGTTCAGGCACTTGATCGATTACGACATAAGTTTATATCTGTGTTCCAAAGCACGTACACGAATTTGAACCCTGTATGTTCAATAATGTTGACGAAAATGACAAAACTACAATTAATCCTCCTGAAATATAGCATAACAGAGAAAAAATACAAGTTTAGTTGTTTACACTGCTCCTTGACGCCCACAATCACAGTCATGGAACTACATAGCTGTATGAAATTGTATCGCCCAAAATAAAAATGAGGACTGATAAAAACGTGTATGATTGATGGTTTGTATTTCTTAGACAAAATATGTTAAGACTAATTGAGTTTCGTACACTTTGAAAACATTTGATACACTGTATTATAAATCTCAGAAAGGACTACATGAATTGTGTTATCAAGCAAAATGCAAAGACAGAAAGTTTTAAATGAATCAACTGTCAAATGAAAAATGAATGAATATTGAACATAAAGAGAAAATAACAAAATTATTAAGTATTAAGAATACGTCCCTCCTTCCAACAGTTTGCATAACATGATGTGTGACCGCAATGCACTTCTAAAGTAACTTTTATTGAAAAAAACAAAATAAGATAGAACCTGTTGAGCTCATTTAGGGATATATCATGTGTATGGGGAAACTCGTAAAATCTTGGAAGACGATACAATAGACTGAATAAGATACGGAGAAGCGAAATCTATGAATTAACCTACAACTGACTCTTCATTTTAAGACTCGACGTTGATGCTAAAATCAAAATTTGGTGAAAGAAATGTCAAAAACCAGATGGAGAGGTGCACTGACCCTTACATTTTCACCGAGTATAAGTGTTTTAAATGATAATGATAAAAAGATCACTTAAGAAAAAATGTTTTTGAACACAATTAGTGATCAAAATATGACATCATGATTATATAACTGGGCAGTATATCGTTGTAAAGATGAAAATAATTTTAACGAGTGAATACAGGTACTGTTTGTTAAGATAGTATCATCATTACAAATTTGAAGACAGGGGAAAAAACCAAACTCTGACTTGTAAAATACAAAAGGTACCATCGGAAAATAAAAGACAGATGATAGTATCCAAACATTTCAATACAAATTTAGAGTAAGGTACGGTACAGTCAAACAATGAGTTAAACTACATCATACATGTACTTCTAGGACTCGAAAATGGTGCTAAGAGCGTAAATTTAAAGTCCTGGAAGCAACAGGAAAATCCGAAGTGATCTAAAGAAAAAGACAAAATCTCGATGAGGATGTGTTATGATTACATATACATTGTTATAAAATATTGTTTAAAATGGAAAAAATATAACATTGAAGACTATAGTATTTTTCTAATGAATGAAGCGCACTATATTTAGTGACCAATTTCAACGTAGGGCGTGTGGTATGGTTCAATCGTAAATTGTGTTTATAACAGCAGCAGTGCTAATCATAAGAAAAAGTGTTTTTGTAGAGGGATTACCGAAAAGAGACAATATCAAATTGATACCAAGAACTACAAAAAGAGTACCAACACCTCAACAGAATTTTGATTCAAACTCAAATTCGATGGAAGTAGTGCAAAATATGAATAGAAATTAGCACTGTAACAAATCAGAAGATGTATTATTTGCTCATGAAATTTCTTTGGATATAATAGGTTGGATTATATATATAAAGGGACCTTTCATGCTCGAACTTCTTTTTTTTTCCAGAAGATTAGTGTCGGTTATAAAACACAAAACGGTATCGTGAAAATAGCGACGTAAATAATAGCAACCAAGGTTTTTATCTCAAAGTCACATACACTGCTATTGTTCAAAGGACCTCTATAATCTACAATCTAATATAAAATATAAATATTTGAAGTCAAAACAATTCAACAATAGCATAAATACATACAAAAATATCCAACAGTTAAAAATTATAGCAAATATAGTTGATCTGAAAACATGTCGGTAAAGTAATACACCAGTCACATTCCTTCTTTTAAATACGTTTAAATGGAAGGTAACTTTGTTCCCTGGTGTTGTGTAACTCGCGCTGTGAATACTACTATTATATTTAGTTATATACATATACATATGTACATGTACCAGGTACATTTAAAGGCTCAGGACACAGCTAGTGGGTCTACATGAACGTAGTCTACCACGAACCCATTGTCTATTGTGCTTCCTGGTGTAATAATTTTCTCGGGAGACAAAATTAAGGCTTTAATAAACATATATAACGAATGCTTATCAGTGGCCCTTACTTATTCTGCACGTTTATTTGAAAAATGTGTTGGTTATCTTTATTAGCAAGGTCAGATCATGTCATAAACGAAGTAAAGACACACGAAATATTTCATGTAACTTTCCCCAAGTGTTTCAGATGTTGGATACTGAAATATTCTTTTGATTTACAGGCATATATCTCGTGCATACTTAAAGCGATAAAGTGAACACGTTGGCTCAGTGTTGACGCATACTAAATCGATACCGATCGACGAAGAAAGGTTACTCTTTAAAAGCAAACAGTACATAGATACATCTTTTAAAGATAGGTAGAATCCGATACTAGCCCTTGTTTATTGTAATGGATAGAGAATCTAAGACGAACGACTCTAGGTCAGCACTCTGTATGCGCCTTATCTACAGATAATCTCACACTATCTCTAATGTACTGTGAAACAACTATCTAACTTCAGAACTAAGTCGATAGGTAGCTTCCTGTTCAGCAGTAATTTGCCAGTGATGATGTTCTAACGTCTCATTAAACATAGCATAGTACTGAATAACATGTAAACATCCTGTAAGTAGAAATGATACGGTGTGCAACACGCATATTGCTTTAGATTAGAAGTGTGTTTCGATTTAATAATATTCAAGCAATTACAAATCCAAGGAATTCCACTGGTATGAAAAATGATTAGCAGCAAGCGATATAACACGGTAAATGTAACCTATATCATAATTTTAATCATATAAGTTTGATTACTTGTTAGGTCATTCTTATTACAGAACCACTTTGATTATGTCATACTTACTTGAGATCTTAAAATCTAAGGGTTGACTTGTATATATGTTCAGTACAGTGCACATTTTTTCTAATGCTGAGACATTGAAAGAAGCATATAAATAAACATAACATACCCCATAATGAAAGGAAATTTTCAGCTTCAACTGCAGATTTTCTTCTTCTTCTTCACAACATACTTCGCCATTTTGTCGACGAAATACACACCGAGTCCCTGAAGTGCGTCTCCGTAACCATTGACAGTAATTGTTAAAGATCTACGCACTATTTATAGATATTTAATTGAGCACTCCTCGCCAGGGTGGAGAAACATAATATCTGCTATTCTCCCACACTACATTGTCTTATCCTGTGTTGTCCCCTGCAGTCTGACCACTGGTACCAATGTGACGGGTGTGTATTACTTCTTCTGGACACCCAAGACACTCCAGAACGTGCCTGTACACAGCCAGTGCGTGCCTAAAATACAAGGAAGTAATATGTTACAAGCACCATGGAAGCAAACTGTGACAACAAGGTAACTACACAAGGTATGTTTAATTTATTTTTATTATTCCATTACTGTTGCGTCTGATATAGTTCTATAAACTCGATTACATGTACGTTGGGTCTAGTCCCATTCATATTTAAGGTGTATTGCTGGCCGGTGTCACAGATCAAAACAGACCATGTGATTAACTTCAGGCAGTAGGAATAACAATTTATAGTTGTCGACACCCTTGATGGACGATAAGACATAAACAAGAGATACTGGTACCTGTAAGTGACAGATCTGTTAACAATGTTCAACCAATAGACATATTTCCCAGTCTGTATGCCAAATATTGTATGGAATATACCAAGACTATGGTGAGTAGTAGGAGTTATTGTCGTACTGGTTTAACAGATTTACACTGGATCCATTTGGAAAGTGTTCTCTAGGGTGTTCAGGTGACGGAAATTCTTTTTTATTCTCTCCAGGTAAGTAATTTAATAATATTAATAAGATTTGAACACTATTGCATGATAAAGGTATCAAACATACTACCTGATTGTTGTTTGCTTTACTAGTTTTCAGACAGTATTGATCTAACCTCGAGTTAGGTTACCTGAGTCGATATCAAACATTTATAGCGTAATTTAACACGGAGTAATTCGGTAATATGTATGACTGCTTCTACACAAACAAAGTGGACCAAAATCTTACGTCATGACAAGGTAGTTATGTTTAGTGATTTAATACCATGGGAGAAGAAGGTCTACAAGCACACTGCAGATGTTTCGATGTCGAACGAATCGGGATTTATAAATAAGGTGACAGTCAAAGTTTGAATATCATCAGGTATGTTTACAGTATCTTGATAAAGAATTGTTAAGACAAATATCTCGCAAAGTTTACATTTTGTACACGTGATTTTAAATCTAAACATACATATCATTTGTATCAGTAAATGTTTTTTTTTTCATTCTCTTCCATACTAAATAACACCTAACACAACATTGTATCTTTAATTTACAACAATTGTAAAACAACAATCATATACTGTAAATATTTGATACAGTGTTAATAGAAGATATAACCAATCAATGACCAAGTTTAATGTGTCTTTGCGCATAAATGTCATGACCCTGCTTTAGACGCATACCATTCAACCCGATCGGATTTTTCTTACGGCTTGGTTGGAATTCCCATCAAATTCATTGTCTTTCTTAATAACTGTTCCACAACGACAACAAAGACATTTGTATCTTTCCTACAGTTAAGTATGTTACAGACGTCTACTGAAATACTTCAGGGGTGTGATGACTCTTTGCTAAATATCTATCAAATTAGGAATTGGCATTAGTTCCCACCAATAGATTTGTTGATACGATTCTAAGTCTATTCGTATATTAGAGATTTCGGAAGTCAAAAACCTAATGTTAATGATTTCGATTAATGGTGACTTACATACTACCCAGGGTAATTTCTATATTTGACAAGAGACGCTTCATGCATAGCGAAACGCGTACCCTTATGCAGTGACTTATTCCGGTCTTAGCAAGTGTACCATACTGTAGTGAATAATTCCGGTCTTTGTAAGTGTACCATACTCTAGTGAATAATTCCGGACTTAGTAAGTGTACCATACTCTCGTGAATAATTCCGGTCTTTGTAAGTGTACCATACTGTAGTGAATAATTCCGGTCTTAGTAAGTGTACCATACTGTAGTGAATAATTCCGGTCTTTGTAAGTGTACCATACTGTAGTGAATAATTCCGGTCTTTGTAAGTGTACCATACTGTAGTGAATAATTCCGGTCTTTGTAAGTGTACCATACTGTAGTGACTAATTCCGGTCTTAGTAAGTGTACCATACTGTAGTGAATAATTCCGGTCTTAGTAAGTGTACCATACTGTAGTGACTAATTCCGGTCTTAGTAAGTGTACCATACTGTAGTGAATAATTCCGGTCTTAGTAAGTGTACCATACTGTAGTGAATAATTCCGGTCTTTGTAAGTGTACCATACTGTAGTGAATAATTCCGGTCTTTGTAAGTGTACCATACTGTAGTGACTAATTCCGGTCTTAGTAAGTGTACCATACTCTAGTGAATAATTCCGGTCTTAGTAAGTGTACCATACTGTAGTGAATAATTCCGGTCTTAGTAAGTGTACCATACTGTAGTGAATAATTCCGGTCTAAGCGAGTGTACCATACTGTAGTGAATAATTCCGGTCTTAGTAAGTGTACCATACTGTAGTGAATAATTCCGGTCTTAGTAAGTGTACCATACTGTAGTGAATAATTCCGGTCTTTGTAAGTGTACCATACTGTAGTGACTAATTCCGGTCTTAGCAAGTGTACCATACTGTAGTGAATAATTCCGGTCTAAGCGAGTGAACCTTCTTGTATTGACTAATTTCTGTTTTGGAAAATTTGTCTTCATGCAGTAAATAAGTCTAGTTTTCGTTAATGTTCCTTCCTGCGGTCTATAATTCCGCTTTATCAAGTGTTAATCTGTCGACTGAGGCGAATCTGTTGAATATATGGTATATGTCCATTTTAAAATTTGTATTACAGTACATTAACTGAGTGTCAATGATGCTGTAGAAGGTAGCCAGAATGCACGACATTAACTACCGACTGTATGATGCAGTCACTAAAGGCCAGACGGGAAACGCCCTCAAGTTCCTCAGGCTGGGAGCGGACGTCAACAAGCGCGATGTGGTACGTACCTTTTCATCAATACACCAACGGGAGGGGAGATATTCAATCTGATCCTGGCACCTTTTATCCGTTTTGTAGTTAACCCTGAACGAATTCATTCCATTAGGTCTTTCATCAGTGAGAGCTGTAGATATTCCCACTTAATTACACTATCATGGAAAATGAAGATAGAAAGGAAATGCTGAATGTATGATGTTTCTGATATCAACATCATCATTGATATGATTTTATTTGTTTTGTTTTTTCGCAAATGCAACAAACAATTTTAACACATTTCCCTCGCGCTTGATATATTTGCATCCACACTCTGTGCGATACCATTCGTACTAAAGTCAAACGAGTAGTTCCTCCTTGCAATGTAAATCTAGTGATGGTCCAAGGCCTAAGTGGAAAATGAAAAAAAGCGATATAGAATTTTTCCGTCCATCTAAAACTCTCTGGGGATGCCAAGAGCCAGGGAGTAATGAAAATTAAACTAGCCGAAATAACTGATAAAACATAAAAGGGATGAAATAATTAAACCTATTATTCTATTTTCGTATTTTATCCTTTCGCTTAAATTCCAATATTTATATTATCTCTTTAAGTGTTTTTTTTCCATATCTTTCCAATGAATTCAAGAAGAAAGGAACGAGTCTAAATCCCTTTACGCCTGTTACAGTAAATATAATCAAGGGGACACGTTTATATATATAATTAATTCCCACATTGACGTTACTAACATTATCTACCATTACAGATTGATGGCATGACACCGCTGTTAAAAGCAGCCCGTCGGCGAAACTTCGTCATGATGAAATTGCTGCTTTTCCATGGCGCGAAACCCAACACAAGGGACAAAGTGAGTGTGTATACTTGGAACTAGTGCTTAGGTCAAAACTGATAGAATGCGACAAATTTCAATGGTAGCTTATAGTGATTCCCTTTGTATATTGTCCCTCGTTGTGCTTTCCAGTCTGTTTAGTGCCAACGTTTTCTAAATTATCAGCTGATCGCAGTTTACCCAGATGTCAGCGGAAAGATAATCCCTTGTGATTAGTACAAAAAGAGAACAGAGGACAATACACAGGCCATTGTTAGCTTTACTCTAACCTGTATTTGGTGCTTCAAACCGATCTCCGTGTGTCTTAACTTCAGGCCACATTTTATACACAAGTGTTTGTATCAATAGATAAACTCGCAAAGATAAAACCAATAGGAATTATAACAGTTGTCTTTAACGACGTGTAACATATTGTGAAGTAGGCCCCAGGAGCTGACTAGTACACTTTAAATGGCCTGATTTGCCTTCCATAATACTTAGACCATGATAACTAATAGCACCTATAAATGTTTAATCCGACAATATCACATAAATACTAAGTATCGACGTCTCATTGGGTGTATTTAAACTTTGCACAAGAGCGTTGTGTATTTTTCTAATTAGTCTCCTTGGGCATGTGCAGCCCAACTCAAGTAAATAAACAGGTAGGTGTCCTGTGCACCGCTCGGTGTGTATCGAATTGATACCAACTTCTATCTACACAAAAACTTCAGTTGAGGCAATACTTGGTGAGGCCATGGCTAGACAAAGATATTTAGTTTGTAGCATATAGAGACTGACGTATACATCTTGTGTTTCTAAAACAAATTTATAGAAATGGAAAATATCTTTATGTTAAGGGCGTACATGCCATCGTTTATATTACTGTTCAGTGTAAAGGCGTCCACCTAGCCACAAAGATAGATACTTATAACGAATCGATAGTCCGGTTAACGTGTGGTATTTTGTCTAAAGAGTTAGGGTGTGACGGCCCTAAAACCTTCAATTAACAACTCAGCAGTTTCCCAAGTATAATAACTAGCATTAAACGATACGTGAAATTTGACTAGTTTTTATGATTGTAAAATATACCGCAAGCTACAGAATACCATTAAACTGTTAAACGTATATATCTAACTGTTTTATTGACACTGTGAGACATCAAACCCCGACTGCTGTTGAGAAAATACATATAAGGCATCTACGACTTAAATTGAATAGTTACTGTAACAACACACAACGTGCTTAGATCGAACTATTGTATCAAAAACAGTCATATTCATAAAGAGGCAACTGACAAGTTACACTTGACTGACGGTAAAGCTTGGATCTAATTTTAGTTATTACTAATGCCCTACAAATGTGTATAGTGATGATAAACACGGTATCTCTGTCACCAGGTAAAACTGCCATTCAATAACATAAGGTAGAAAGTGTTTCCGTTCGTGAGAGGAGATATAACAGATATATAATGATACAATAATTTGGCTGCTGATGGCACACAATAAGAAAGATAACATCGTACAACACAATGATGGAGAGACTTTTAGTACGTAAATGACTTTAAAAAGTAGAAGCATAAATTTCGTTGTATTATAATAAGGTGATTCTTGCTATGCAGTGGTCAAATAAATGTTGAGACAAATTTCAGTATTACATATAACGATAAACATAATTAAAATATGACATGAACGACAATTATCATTACTGATGTAAGCTTGGCGTGTATTGTACCAATAAAGATTGTGTACTTACCTGTAGTGTCGACTGCTATATACCCTAGTGATAGGATGATAAAACTATTGCAAACAACTAACAAGATACATTCTAAACTACAGTCCGATCGACTGTATGTCTTTTACCTATACCTATGGCGTCTTGTACATATATTACAATTCAAATTAGCACATACCTGTCAATTATGTCACCATCCCTTGGTCTGATCCTAGTACGATTCCAATTAACATGTCCTTGTACCTGTTTCGTAAATAACACATTAAGGTCACTTCCTTACAATGACGACTTACATCCGTGTTGTATATTACATTACCTGGTGCAATGAAGTGTAATCTACATGTACTCGTTTGGTACATCCGCCGTGATCACAAACTTGTGTATCTAACGTAGTTACTGCATCACACCACTTGGTACATCCTGTGGCGTCAACCACTGCGAGCTAGCACACACTCGGCTACTCCTTGTCGAAGGGATGATTATAGCGGGTTTTTTTTCTAACACTACAACTTTATTTATAAAGAATTCCTGTTGTATGTGTTGATAGCAGTTACGTTAAATACTGCATCAGAATTAAAACAACAGACCACTTATCTCACTTAGGTAGACACTTAAATAGTACTTGTATGATAAACACGATAACGAGGAAACAATACAAACAGCTACATATTAGCGATATATACATATCATAATCACTAAAAATAGTTCCTTCCAATGTCGATCTTCTATAATTATATATATATAACGGAACAATATTTTTCGACCAAGTTTCTCTCCATTTTCAATTCATCATCAAAATATGTGTATAAAACATCAGAGAGATATGTTTTTACTAGCTGTATCAGTATGACATGAGCGATGGTGCTACTCGGATCCTACACTGTAACTATAAACAATGAAGATAATAAGGTCACTTGAAAAGCTTTGATGACTATCATATAAAATTGTGAAGTATTGAAGAACTATAACCTCTGGTATATCATATTCCATTGTCTAGTTACTATGATATACAACATCTAAATATTATTTACAAATTCACTGATTAAAACATATAAATGCACTTCACTGACGATAAGGCTTGGATCTAATTTTAGCTATTACTAAGTTCCAGCATAGGTGTACACACAATATCTCTCACAAGGTTTTAAAAAAAAAACACCAATTCATATCGTAAACTGTTGCGATAATTGAACAAGACTTGGTAACATGGTTACTAAAATGGTAATTTCTTATATGTAATATACAGATAGATACAGATTTGAATATTATCAGTAAACAATACTTCAGTTGTTATACTGATAAGAATTACGATAAATTTTATCTACATTATATATCAGCTGTGTTATACATACATGTAAAAAGGTTTAAATATCGTAATACGTACCTGTCTTTTAAGTCACTATCTCATGGACTGGTTTGTCTACTTCTTGCATGGCATCTTATCTGTTTCGTGAAAAACAACACATCGAATTATATCCCTGTCATGCATTACAGTTCCTGATGCAATGAAATGTAACGAGTAGTTGAGTGTTAGTGATGCAATAAGGAGTAAAAAGTAGCTTACTGTAGACACTACCGGGAAACGATATAGGACACTACGTTTATATATATATATTAAACTGGTTTTATTCTCTCAGATATTCACTAAGTAATTAATGAGACAAGTCTATGATAAGATGTGTTAAACATCTATGGCATATTTGTGTTATAAACATCTGTTTCTGTATGGTAGGAGCGGGGGCTTACAGCGATGCACTACTTGGCGGAGGCTGGAGACACAGAGAGTATGATGTTGCTGCTCGCCTTCAGTGCCCACATGGAAAGCACGGACTATGTGTGTAAATCAATTAATTAATACGACTGTATGGATACTCGATAGTCTGAAATTCTATTTTCCGAAAGACATATATAACTTTATTTAGTAGAAAATACACGTGATTTTGGTAAAATACTGGAATCCATGAAACTAACAAAAGTATACATGATTTTAGTTTGTTTCGACTATGACTAAGTTACTTTGACTATGAGGTTTTAGTTACTTTGTTAATGATTTATTTGTTCTGCATATTTACTGTAACAAAGACACAATTACTTTGACTACGATGGTTTAGTTGCTCTATGATTAAGTTACTTACTATAATTTAGTTACTATGGTAATGATTTAGTTACTCTGACGATGACTCAGTTACTCTAAGTAAGATTTAGTTACCATGACCAGGATTTATTTGTTTTGACTATAATTTAGTTACTCTATGATAATTAATTTACTGTATGGTGTTTTAGTTATCTTGACTATGCTATTCTTTCTTTGACTATGCTTTGTTATTAGCATAAATAGTCATAATGTCATAATAGACATTCCAATATTGAAAATTTATTTAATCATCGGGTAATACACCTGCTCATCGATATTTCGTCATTTATGTCTTCATTTTCCTAAGTCGGATCACAGGTTCTAACATTTTAGAGCCCGTGTATCACAAACGAACACTAAAAGGAAGACATTATTTGAATATACTCTAATTCTGAAGTTTTACAAATAGGTGCTATTCACTTGAATGCCTTTTGTACAATCATAACATACAACTAGGCTTAGTCACTTCACATTGAAGATATACCACTAGCACCTATCAAAGACAGAAGCAGTAATATGCTGCAGGTGTGATGAACGCAAGTATTTTATATATCTGACAGGTGGGGTGTACTCCGCTCCATTACGCCTCCAACCGGGACCACGCCAGAGCTGCTGACTTATTGGTGTTCTGTGGAGCTGACGCGACCATACGTAACATCGTAAATATCTTCTTCCAGCCATACTTAGGAACATTTACATTTCACAAATATCTATCGTTATATTTACGTTCATTTCTATGTTTCAACTCTGTGTAATCACTCATTTATGAAACCAATAGATTATATGAAAAGATCCGGCACCTGACTCGTAATGATAGCGATTCTTTTGAAAATAGATTATTTACATACCGATTATCAAATACTTTATTTAACAATATATGAGAGTTGAAGTGATATATATGATATTGCTTCTGTGACATAAGAATATCTCATTCTTTTTATAACATCCTCCAGAGAAAAGAAACACCTATATCAATATGCGAAAATGAGGATGTCGCGCAAATTCTACAAGAGTCGAAGCGAGTGGTGAATGGAATGAAAAATAAGTAAGTAGCTCAACTTGTTTCAAATACAGTAGTACATTATTTGCAAATATTTCGCTTTATACTATGAAAGAATGTTAAGACATTTGGCTAGACTTACATCATGAATCCTGTGGTTTTACAACACATAGAAGCAACTCCCTTTGCTCTCATTCAAATTCTCTTCCTATTACTGATCTGCAGATTATGGATCATTGGATTTTTATGTTTTTGTTTTCATCCAGTGATGTCTTCGTAGAACACAAACAACTCGAGACAGATTCCAGAACCCCTTTTAACGAGATAGGACTCGTGGTGTTCACACCGCCAACATTCAGCTCCGACAGTCTGAGTTTCCTTTGTCGTCGCGTCAGACCCGAGTACAGTGACAACATCCTTCGTCCCGACAAACAGGAACTCTTGATCAGTGATACATTCCAGTACAGATTGTCGGCCACCCAGTCAGACGGTCTCGTTTTGCTGGAAATCCCTCTCTACACTTTTCCAGACCCATTTGAGGATGTTTACATAAAGACGGATACAAATCCTAAAATCGACCCTGCCAAAAAAATAACGGATATTAGAAGGATTCGATGCGAGGTAAGTATCGACAGAAGATAAATTCAAACTCAAAGTCTAAGGCAAAATGTGAACAAAAGAAAGATTTCCACTGCGACCTATGAAAACGGAGAGTAGAAAGCGGGTGAGTAAGCGACTTCTGTTTTATCAAGGACACCAATTACGTCAATCTTTATTAACCTGAGGAAGTAATGTCGCGTTCAAAAACAAGGATAAGATAAACAACAATGAGCCACTAGGAATGTGGAGAAATAAACAGTGACGCATACTGATTAGCATTGGATGATGTCAGGTTTCAAAGGTCGTAAATCTTCTTTTTTGACTTCCATGAAACGAGTCCAGCGCTTCCAAAGATATTACGTAGAATCTGAGTAATTATTTGTTTATGCATACTATTGATGTGGAATGATATGTCATTATTTCAGAATAGTCAAAGTGACTATAAATGGGTATGTTACACTGAGGTAGACATCACAACAATGACGGCCTTTTGCCTTGTCACCTTTCCAAGAGTAGAAAACTTCGATATTCCCCCTGAAGGAATTACTTTGACATCGGAAGTGGACCAGTTCGTGCAGATTTCCGTCCCGCCGAATGCGTTCGAGTGCCCTGGAAGTAGAATATCTTTAGAGGTAATATTAACGATGTACATATGAAATTTTATCTTATCCATCAAGACAATAATTCTGAATATTTTTTCGTGTTAGTTTCCAGATCCATTTTATTTCCAAATTGTAAATGTTTCTGTACAACAAAAAGGCAATTTGGGTCAATAGAAACGTTCATTTCTTTGTTAGCATAACAACCGGAAATGAACAGATTCAACTTGACACATTATCATAATCTGATATCATCCAGCATGTTCGAAAATGAAGTAAACAATACATTTTATCATAGGTTTTGCCAAGTCCAGTTTTCGATCCTCAAGACTTCGGCAACATCGTATCCGTCAGTCATTTTTATGACTTGAATCATAACCATTCAGAGCGTCCACAGAAGGAGATTGGTTTGAAGGTACCGCTTCCACAGGACTACGACGGAGAGGGAAATTTTTATATTTTGGGGGCCGAACTCAGCAGCCAAGTCTACTTGGATATGGAAGGTGAAGGAGAAGAGACACAGAAACACATCATAGAACAATGGAGTATCATTGAAAAAAACCCTGTATCTGTCAAAGGCTGTATTAAGTGTCCAGTTACACATTTCTCATAGTGAGTAATCCAGATTTACTGATATTTTTATTTTATAATAATTTAGTCCTTTTTCATCATTATGATTGAAGTTTGGAACAAACATTCTTAAGCACTTAAATCCAATAGCACCTCATTAACTACTATCCACAATTTTCATTTTCAATATTTTATTGTTATATTCAGGTTTAGTGAACATTATGATCCTGCTGACTGGCTAATGGTTTACTTGTCATGTATATCTGCCTCTGTGGTCTTGAGTATTTACATCAAAGTTTCTTACTTCAACTGGCAGTAGCATTCATTTATTACTTCATATAACATATTCAAAAATTGCAAATTGTATCTGCAGAAAGAGGAAGTCATATTATTTGAGAATATAGGTTATTGAAAGTTCATACAGATTAAGATCTCAATTTCTGTGTTATTTAAAACCTATTTATGAGCGATTTTGAAAGTTGTATGAATTCCAGAGTGTGCAAGTATAGAAGATATATCGTATTTGTCAACTTAATTGTATATTTATAAATCACTTGTACCCGTAAGTTGGTTTTATAGTTGTTCCTTAATTGACGTACTGGTATGAATATGTGTTGGATTTGTGCAGTAGGTCGTCGGTATCCAGGTAGTTTAGGCAAGGGTCTACTACCCACTCCATTCTATTGATATGATATCCACGCTACCACGGATAAATATCTTGTTGTGTTTTGACAACGAATCTTCACCACTTTATGGTTGCATAGAATTTGGATGGTAGCGGTGAGATACTTCCACAGACATGTTTGTTAAAGTTAAGTATTGGTTCAAAAAGTACAGTTCCATCAATTTACTTTATGACCAAGAGACAGAAATTCTTAGGACATTTTTTTCGAACGTATCATAATAGCGATGATTAAAGTATAATAAAGTTAGATTTTAATATGTTTTCTTTGAACTATTACAGCTATGTAGCGTCTGAGGCCCAACAGAACATGACAGAAGAGGCGGTAATTAGGCAGACATCCAAATTGTGTAGAAGGGCCTCACTTAAAAAACAACATGTCAAACTCATTGTCATGTTAAAACCACTGGGCGATGAAATTTACGACGTCATTGTGGAGATAACAATAGCAAGAAAAGCGGAGGACAGGCTTAATCACTGGAGAGCGTGCAGATATCTAGATCAAAAGCCCAGTATATCACGAGACTTTGAATCCGTTCCCAGAAAGAGGTACCTCATAACACTAAGTGACGAGATCGAAAAGCATGGAGGATTAACTTCTACTCCATTAGACTTTCATCCAAAACGGTTCAATTTTCAACAGTTTCAAATACGTCGGAAAAAGAACGGTGAACTGAACTTTGGCTCAGTGATTCTGACTGATGATGAAACTGGGGAGGAAATTGCTAGAATAACGGTTCATTTAACTGGTACCCCATTTCTTGAGGATTTAGGGGAATTTGAAGACGGATTTCCAGGTAAGCACGACAGTATTTTTCTATGACTACATGTTAAGTAGTGAATGACTACCAATTTCTCTCCGAATGTCAAATCCAACTCAGTAACTTCTCGAGTTAATTTTCTGTTAACATTTCATGAGACGATTTCCTTCTAACCTAAAATAGAAACGTAAGTAATTAGTGCAGAGGAAAAGAGCCTGACGAATACGTATCAGTGCATCAATGTTCTTTTAATTAAACCCGAAGTTGAAACGAACGATAGAAAATGCAACTCATCAATGAATGCAAACTAAGTACTTCGAAAGGATTAACACACAACGGACAAACCCGTTATTTCAAATCATGGTAAATAAATAGGACATTGATAAATATATTTACCAGTGGTATAGGTAGAAATCGTACCATAACGATAACCATACAAATTAATCAATTCAGCTCCTGAGACAAAAATATCTATATAATTAGTGTCTGAACTAATATATTGGCCTCTACATGTAACTCAATAAGCATTAGAAGTAGATTAGATTGTTGCTACCAATGAAAGTTAAAGCGAACAAGTCGTTAAGTCGTTTGTTAGTTTGAAAGTAAAGAGCTATACAAAACAATGTCACTTAATTATGATATAATATACCATGTACATTTATTTGGGTTTGGTATCATTGAGTCATTCATGTTTATTAAACTCTTATATCGAGAACGATTACTATGTGCCTATAAATTATACCTGACAGGTTTCACAAGAAATAGTTTACTGAAACACTTGGCTAGAGAACTTGGCGACGAATGGATCAAAGTAAGCGTCCTCATGGGTCTGACGTACCGAACAGTAGAGGAACACTCTAAGCTTCCCAACAAGACAATCACAGAGAAGAAATTCGAGGTATCAAATCCATAAAGACTAATTTAAAAAAAACGATGGATCTGAAGTTGCAAAGTATTGTCAAGCAAAATGGCGGCCGCAAGTGCAGACAAAAAACGAGACAAGGCGTTATATGTGCATTTGTTAAACATTTACACTATATTCTAGACGTATGCATACCCCATTTGCGATTGTAGCATTCTGTAGTATTTTGCGAACATTTAATATTTTCGTCATTTTTCCTTTGCCCGACAAAATCATCACTCCAAAACCCATGTTTAAAGAAATCGACAGTATGAAGTTGTATATTGCAAAGTTAATGTTAAATTTTATTGATAACTGTTTGCATTGTTAACAAAACCAAGAATGTATTTCTTATAAAAAAAACTTGTGCATTACAATACATTCCTTTCCTTTAAGATTCTAAAGCTGTGGAGAGACTTGAGTAAAAATCGGCAGGACCTAGGTGTTCCCGATCTCTTGTCTGCTCTAGGTAAAACCAAACGAGATGACTTGGTAGAGTATGTTAATACACAGCTCAAAGTTTGGTAAGTAACACATTGATTGACAAGATTAGTACATCTGGGTTTTTAATTAGTGTTAATTTGTTCTAGTCTTGGCCCAATTACGACATTTTATTCAAAGATTGGTCAAAAGACACACAAGAGACTAGCAACATTTAAAACAGTACAGTACAGCCAAACATTCAATCAAAGAATGTGAATCTTTAAATTTTCAGTGCTATGTTGCAATGTCCTGTTTTATACTTAGGTATAGAACATTAGACAGCGAATCTGTAGTAAGACTGATATAACAGTATTGGTGATTGTTGTAACTTTTGTTTATCATTTATTGCAGGCTTCAGGAGAAAAAAGGCCAACCTGACCGTTTCTATAACTGGTTAGAGGATGTTTTCCAAGGCCCCAACAAAGATATTCTAGAAACCAACAGTTAGTACTCAATTCATATTTTGAGCATCCGCTGAATATACTTGGAAAAGTGTCTACTACACGTAAAACAATTAATTACACGTAAAAATAACAACTAGTCTAGTACGGTATATATGTACGTGCTGTGTTGTCTACACGTATAAGTATTCGGAATACTAATACCAAGTTCACTTAGTTCTGGAGACATTAAACTATCAACAAAATTGCCTAATGCACCCCCTCCTTTACTTTAATTGTTGTATTTGTATTTCATAATGTAATGTAGTGTTAGATGTACTGAATATTTTGTAGGTTTCGCGGGACAAATAAAACATTCGTGAATTCTAAACAAAAACTTATGTTTCTCGTCCATTATTTGATCTCTTGCAAATCAGCACAAATAATTACTTTTGGTATTCAATTACCACTGTTAATTAGGGTCGAAATGGTTACTGTCAATACCATCCACAGCAAATATGAATGTATACATCAGATAAGAAGAAATAGATTACTGCATGGGTTACTCACTGGACAGCGGTACATTATACAATTGTGGCCATGATGTTGTAATTGTAGGTCACCCGCAGCCCATGTCAGACCAGTTCTACGTCCTCCTGGTGGAAAAATGTGGCATTAATCTCAGGTCCACCGGAAGTCATCTCGACCTGTCAAAACCGGAACTGGATGAATTATTCTCAGACACAATGATCAACAAAGAAGAGCATAAACTACTTCATGTAAGCTTGTCCTAGATAGAACACCAAGTGATAGTTAAATATTAAACAATATCGATATGAACAATGCATTGTTGAGTCGGGAATGTACTAACGACTGCGATCGATACTCACCAACACCTCCTAGCGAGGTAGTATAGCCGAGGATCTGGAGATACTTTTTCAGTGCTTTATCAGGTTCATTTCTGTTTGGAAAAACACACTCGTTGTTATAAAGAAAACTGCTTTAACTAGACTCTGCTAATTCGGACGCATCTTTTCAGCAAACTAGCAATTAATCGATTTTTCCTTTCAAATGCGGTATTACATAAATTTGGCTATAGACGAACAGAACAATACACTTCTTGAACACGCAGCATTGCTCTTCTGATGTTGTCCTCTTGATTTATTTAGCTATTTGTTTGTTTGTTTTTCTATCTTTAATATTTTTCATAGATTCATTAATCTTGCGCTCGATTTGTAGTTTTTACATATCGTTGATATTTTAGTTTATTAATTAGAAAAAAAAACCAGTTCAAACAACAGAAAAATCAGGTGCACCATTAAACATTATTTCTCTTTCTAACCTGCTTGTGTTACTTTCGATTGATAGTGATTTTGGTAGATGATAAAAGATGAAAAGTACATTAAACACAAGCTTTTAACTATGGATATTTTTTGCAGTCTTTGGGTCAGTTTTATGACCTCTGTTCGGCGGAGATCGAAGAAATTGTAGCCTACCCTATTGGACATGGACATAGGTTACTGAGGGTAACATATATGCATGCTCTGTTTTCATTTTTTTCATATACCTATATTTAGTTTTCTTTTCATATTACCGTAGTAGGTCTATTGATTCCTGCAGCTGCTTTTCCATCTCCTTCATATTTACACAAATCCTTTTTTCCATCTATCGCCATTGCGAATCATCAGCCCACTTTTCTATCTTTTAGGAATATCTAGACGTGTTTAAAGCAGGATATAGATTCCTTTATCTCGATCACCCAATGAAGAAATCCCTGTATCTCTATCCATGTATCAATTGTGTATATAAAGAGTGGACCCAACGGCGTTATCGTCTATAGAATTACAACTTTCGATTCTCCAGTAACAAATGGTGACAAATTATACGTTATCCATCGTTATCCATCGATATCCATCTTCAGATGTTATCCAATGTCTTGAACGACTCATAGCGATTCATATGACAAGATGAGAACTTTCACAGTAAATGCATGATATCACCCATAATGTCAGTCAGTTCGGAGCACCTCAGTTATCACTAAGTACATCTTTTTCTCTAATCTTCGTCAATATCGTTTAATATACTGATCAATCATGTATTCTGTGAAGAATTATTCACCCAAAATAAAATGCATGAATAATTGTTCTGCTGTATTTTACTTCTTGCTTTCCTTTTTAGTGGTATACCTTATTAGTCTCCCCTCCCTCCCTTCTCCCTGCCTGTTCGCCTTGGGTCCCTTGCTATGATATAAATAACATGGTATTATTTTTCCAGCTGCATGCAATGTGTATCTACGATGATGATATCTTTCTTTCTCTGCGTCGAAATGGAAGTATATACATCGAAGTAACCTTTGAATCTCAAATTCACTTTTCCTTGTCAAATACTCTCGACAACATTAACATATATGTCAAACATTTACTAGACGATATACTCTCGTATTATTTCAGCGGTTTTTTTTTCTAAAATGGAACACGTAAATTTTCTGAAGTTTAGATAACTAATCAAATGGTCACAACGACTTCCAATTGTTTTATTTTGAAAATATTGCCTTTTAAAAGATTTGTTCGAACTCATAATTAAGTAACGAAATATTTCTGTCTAAGATGCTGGTGGTTGCCCGTGAGAAAAGTGAGAGTAACATCGAGGCTTACAAGATGCTGATAGAAGCGTGTGACAAAGTGGGAATGTCAGAGGCTAAACAATGGATACTGGACATGTCGAAAGAATGGTAATTAAGAATTTACACGGTAAAGAGAAACCGATTTCTCGCGGCATTAATGTAAATTATAAATGCCATGGCCCGATTTTTGACGTCATTATCTTCATAGTTGTCTTTGATTCGCACAAGGTTACAATATTTAGAAAGTGAAATAGTAATCTGATTATAAAGGTCAAAATAGGTTTTCGGATTCAGTTATCAGGAGATTATATTAACAAATGACTCTACATCATGTTTTCATCAAACTTAATACATATTCCATGAAATAATAATGTCTGTTACAGGTTAATGGAGAACCCAGAGGCCACCGATCCCTTCAGAATATCTGTCCAGGAAGTGATAGAGTCGGTTGAAGGTCATTATCTGAATGACTCCAGTTTGCAGTCTGACCATAATAATGCTGGTGACCTCAATGGCCAATAAACTCTTCAATGATTGCCATATAATCTAAATGTGGGATACCCAACAATAATATTCAGATCATGAGATCATTTCATTAATAATAATAATGATAATAATAATAATCACCCGTTGATTAAAAACGGATCTATTTCCCCGTAGTATTGTTAAATGTCAACAGCTCAGTAAAGACTGATATACCCACTATCATAAAGAGGAAACTATATATTAATTAGCATGTCCTATTATCATATAACCCATATTGAATTTTTCACAGGCTAAGAGTACACAAGACACTGTAGTAACGTCTGGCTGTGAAAAAATCAACGTAATTTCAAAGTTACTAATAAACTAATTGTAAGTTAATTCGTGTGGGTTTTTTTTATTCTTTTTACACTGTTAGAATTCGAAAGATATTGTAAGGTTGTGTGGCGAGTCTGTCTTTATACCACTTGCACAATACCAGTAACCAAACATCTGGATAAGGCAATTCACCAGTTCGTCCTTAATAATAATCAAAGTAACAAATGTTTGCTAGCATAAATCACAAAATATTTATAGACAGTTGTTTTTTGGGTTTTAGAGTCCAATCTAATATAATGCAATATCCACAAGGCATGTCTTATGATTACCATCTGACCAATATGTGGACGTCTCGGTCTGAGGGTAAAGTATAACAAACATTGATATACAGCTTAAGATCTTTTCCTAATATATCGGTGAATCTCACATAGTTATATCCCCATCCCCTAATCTTTTTATTTCAAATGAGGTCAAGCGCTACCTTTGACCATTTAATGCTGACCAATGACCCTCAAAATCAATTGGTGTAAAACTTCATGGTGTGAAACTATGTTTGAATATGAATTTAATATGATTGGACGGGGTTCAGGGTATTCTTCTTGTATCACAAGTATTAATATTTTATAAAGCGATAAAGTTTGACTATAAACCACATTAAATCTAATAAGATGTAAAACTTCTTGGCTTAATATTTCTCACAGTCCTGTATTTTTTTTTTTACTTTCACATGCAATCCAATGCGTTCCTTAAATCTCGTATTAATGTTTTTTTGCTCACATTCTGCATATAACGGTAGGGAATAAATTCTTTATTCAAAACACAGGGTTTCACGAGATGCATGTTGATGAAAATTGTGGGGAAGTTTATAGTCGTCATGGTGATCACAATGAGAAATATCGTCTTTCTTTGCGCGATTTGAAACTGGACGTGTTTGATGCTCATTAGTTTACCTGTTTGTTCCGTTGTTATATACCTTGTCATTACTTACTCGTCTTAACGTGACGTCACTTAGTTGGATTGACCAAGATTTACATTGCGAGTGTCGTCGATGAAGCAGAAGACGCTCATTCTTCTGATACAACTGGTCTTATTCTCCTAGTACTTTTTCAGTGTAAATCTTTCTTTTTTTCATATTTTGACCTAGTTTTATTGAATATGAGTTTGGACTATGATTCTGTTCTCATATTGGTATTCTCTTGTTTTTACTTTCATTCGGGTGAATTTGTGTGGGAAATTTCAAGTGTAAAATCGGAACTTTTCAAACATCTGATTATTATCGTGTTCGAGCAGGGTGGAAAATTTATCAAAACTACCCACTGATTACATTTCAATTTATCTTTAGCTTGTTATTCACACTCTGATCAATTTGGAACATCAAAGATCTGTCATAACTGTATACTTATTTACCTACACAACATATAACACCCATCAAAGCTCCGAATAAAACTTTCCGTCGATCACATTCCAATGTATCTGTCTAATCATAACTCATTATCAGGGAAACTTATCAAATCAGCATATTGAAAGGATACCAGTATATATCCGCAGAGCAATGAGGACAGCTATACATTTACATGGAAAGGTGTCACTTTAAGTATTTACAAACCAGAAAGGTGTTTTAACGTCGTACTGAAAAAAGGGTTTCCATTAAATGTCTGTTCAATGTTTGTTGCATATACTGTAGATACAAGATAGCAAAGTAAACCAGATAGTAGAGGGTAACTAAAGAATTTTTTTGTTTAACTAATTAAGCGCGTAGTAATATACTTGCTGTCAAACTTAAGCCATACATTAAGTTGCTCATAACCCAGATTTCAAAATTTAAAGTTTCAAATGCACCGATAGATAAATCAATTTTCACCTATATGGCAGGAAATGTCTCTGTTTCATTCGTGCTTCAAACTCATCAAAATATCGCCAATATGCTGTTGCAAGCCCTACTTTCAAAATAATTGAAAGCGTGGAAAATGAAATGTTTTCATACAAGCAATATAATCGGAAACAGATAACAATATATTCATGTTTAACATACCATCAATATTACATTTATCCCACACCACTCTGGATTGTACTGCTGCAAATAACGTTAATCCCGATGATAATGATGAACGTGACGGTTTCAAAACACTACAACAAGGTTTTTGTTTCAATGATCAAACGGTTTATCGTCAGGCGAAACCACCACTTAAAGATAGCTTAAAATTATCAGACATATAACACTTACGACAGTTATTTAATTATGTGGCTAGTGCACCTCCCCATCAGTTTTTCTCATTCGCCCCCTTACCCTTCGAAATTTAGGCCCTTAGAATCAGCTGCATGACACAGTTTAATTCATAGTTTGGCCCTACTGTACAGCCTTAATGTGGTCTGAAAATCAGGATCCATTAATTCGTTTTCAGTTTCAATTTCAACATTCACTTTTCCTTTTCGACCTGTCGATTTAACTCTAACAAAATCTAATTCAGCATTTGACCAGACATTTTAACCAGACAGGGCTGTATTTGCGATGGGCAAAGGTGATAATACAGACACCCAACAACAATCATTTGCGTTAAAAATTGATAAAATTGATAAAACGTTTTATTCAACAAAGAATTTTCATTGTTATGAAATAATCACATTTTATAAACTGATATTGTTTTATCCTTATTACAATTTTTAAACATTTTTTTTACAAATGCCATAATATCAGCATAAATGACACGTTTGCTTAACTAAAAAGGATTTAGGTGCGTTTAACATTCATGTGAAATGAGTTAAATAACTTTATAATTAATCCAACATTTTTGTGCATCCCATACAAGCTTTCTGGAGATACACATTAATGTTTCGGCAGTGTCAATATTTTACACTGTGCATTCACTCAAGGTACAGATGCTTGTTTGCAATTCGCATACCTTTCTCTGACTATAACAGAGCATCCCATAAATGATTAATCAATAATAATTAAAGGAATTATAAGAGTATCAGTATAACAAGGCGCAAACATATCTGACGTCATAATTTACCAACGTAACGTAACAAATCCTGCACCGTTTCCAGCCAGCACTTTTGTAAACAGATGACGTCAAATGAATGGAAGTGTATCTAAAACCGATAGCAAAACCGTTTTTAACATTAAAAATATAAAGTGTCGCCCTAACGAGGTAGATTAGACACTATTAACACGACATAATCAGTGTTTCATGGTCGTATTAAGCATTTTGGAAAACAAATTAAGTAAACTTGTACAAATACGACAAATTAATCTTGATCAGTTCGAAAGAAGTACAAAAATATGGCATAGTCATTGATATTTGGACTTTGAACCTTCTCATACGAACGAAACATTGCACAAACAGGTCCAGTTTTGTAATCTGTCATTAAGGCAAAAGAGATTCGGTGGTTAAGATAAATAAGATTCATGCTAAACAAATCAATTAACAACTGAACAAAGTAAGTAACAACATAAAAAAATATGATGTCACCGTTAAAAAAAATCAAAACATTATTTGTAACAATTAACCCTGAGGATTCTACATGACGTTCCATTCCGGCGGACCATTATACAAATAATCATCATCAGGGTTGGGTGGAAGTTCGGAATCTATCTGAAACATTTTCTCTAGTCTTTTCATAGACTGGTCATATTTGGTATTTGCGTGAAGTACAGAGTCAAATACTAGCGAAGGTATCTCAATTTCGGGCGGTTTCTGATAAGCATATATAGGGCGATTGAACTCGGGATTCAAAAAGTTTGTTGCTGCTGGCAAAGGTTGGTGTTTCATCCAAGTCTCGTTCTTCCAGTCTACTTTCGGAGTGTGGTTCTTTTTGGGGGCGTTCCAAGCCTTCTCGTCAACTTCGTGATTTTCCTTGGGTTTGGTCGGTGGTACAAACTTGGGTTGAAGACGTCCAAGCTGTGCCTTTTTGTGTTTGATCACTTTTTTGTCTGATGATGGCAGGCCTAGAAGATTTCGAACATTCTCTCTGTTTCTGTCTTTACAACAGGAACACTGTAATTGGCCGATGCCTTCATACACAGGGATAATGTGTCCGTAAGCTGCGTAGTGAAGATAGTCTGCTACTAGTCCATCTACCAGGGTGTGACTGTCGTTCGGTGTCATCGGCATCTCCACGGTGAGGCGTGGTTTCTGGACCAGTTTAGGTCGGTCTAAATCGTCATCGGGTCCAGTTCCTGGGAGTGGCCTCACGTGAATTCTTGGTTTACTGAGAGAAGTTGTGTTCAGATCTGCCAGATTGGCTTTTGGCTCGTTTGACACGGGAGCAGGACGACCCGCCTTAACTGGAACTGACGCCTGAGAGTAGGGAACACGTGGAGTCCGGGGGGTCGGGACGGCGAACGATTCCTCACGAATAGGCGGTAGTTTTTGCATCCGGGTCACAGAATACTTCTGTTTTGACGCCATTTTGATATCTGCGAGGGCTTAGTCAGAGATTGAATTTGCTCTGAAACATTTAATTAATTCATCAAGTTTAGTCAGTGTTCACACCACAGCTAATATCTTGATATACTATGCATAATGCATAAGCTCGACATGATTACTTATCTTGTAGGTGAATTATTATTCTATTGTTATAGAAATAAGCCAAAAATAGACAATCAAATTTCCTTTGTGTATACAGCTGTACCTAATGTAAGGACGTGCTAATCAAAAAGATAAGATTATTTACCATATCCGTGTGGTTTTATCCGTTGACTGTAATAAATCCCTCCATAATATACAGTTGTGTCCACTATCTTCCATATCCGACTCCATTAAGGACGATCAGGAGGCCGCCATACTTGTTTAAATAGTTGTCATGGCGCAGTAAGAGGTCTATATAATAATATAAACACGAAGCGTCTCGGGAAGCACACAGACAGGTAAACGGTAAAGAACTACACCATAATATTGTCTACCTGACACAGGTAATCATTTCCCAATATAAACAACCCGGCTTTCTATGTACGTATTCAGAGCACATCAATGGGTTCGGGCACGTTCCGGACAGTTAATAGATCGATACTATTCAGGTGGCTACCCAATACACACAGCTACCTGTGTATAGACAAATAGTATACATGCAAACACCGTGTACGCAAACCCAGGTGTAGATTATAAATACGTTTTCGTGTTTTTAATTAAAATCCTTTATGGGTTTATCTGAACTTCCAACTCAAATATTTAATTCGTGAAAAGCTGCAGTCTTTTTAAATAATGTTGTCGTTGTCTGTTTTCTGTTATTAACTTAGTGAAGTAATCTTAAAATTATAATTTATTCACTTCATGCACATCTGAAACATGTGCCCGTGAAACATAACCGTATATGATAAAATGACTTTTAAATAAAGCAATAGAATGTCTATGATTTGACAGTGTGTTAAGTCGTGACATAGCATCTGAGGAAAAATCAATTTGGACGATATTGAAGATTGTACTGAAGAGCGTATATCAAACAGCTCTGTCTTTGATTTGAACTATGCTACAGATTCGCGATGGCTACTGCCTTGTGTTTGTCAACAGCTTTGGTAACACACACTGGTTAGGATATTGCTGACGAAAACTCATAAACTAGTATATCCAACATGATAGTATTGAGTGTACACCGCGTGTTAAGTCACTTGCTGTTTACTATAATATCGCCTTGTGTGTTTGATTTCACTAGTTCTGTTATTATCCAATGACTTGCACAGAATACAGTCATAAGGCATCCCTCACCCCTCAACAACAACCTCCCTCCCCGCCCCCTCCCGACCCCACCCAATCCCTCAACCCTGTTTCGAGTTTAGCATATGCTATGTATTTAAAAATATTTAACAATACATCAGATTAAGAGAAATCGCTTAAAATATGTTACATAGGATTAACATGTAGGACCATTTTGTTCGAACGACCTACATTTGTATCCATAAATTCTAGGTCTAATGTTAATTGCTATTCAAGGAAGAGTAGGTTTTGATCACGTGAGTTTTAATATAATTATTGTTAACAGCCCAAGATTGTTTCTGTTGTCCGACGACAAACTTCAACATTCAATCATATGATACATATAAATAGTTACTATTTAGTGTTTTAACTGTGTTTTAATTAGTTTGCGCTAGTATTTGACTCGAAATTTACCCATTATTTATTTGTGTTTTCATAGGTGTATATGAGATAAGATTTTAAAACATGGCTTGTAACGCGCTTTAGAGCTGACCTTTTTAACAGCATAGAGCCTATATAAATATTGCATATTATTATTATTATTACTTTTCCTGCATTTCAATCATAACACTTTCATTATCTTGCAAAAGATGAATCGTCGGTAGCCCACGGTCCGGCTCTCTATGCATGAACGTCGGGGACGTGGGTTACAGCTAAAGACATTCCAAAATGAGCACAGCAAAAATTGTAAACATCAAAAAGAGAGAGAGATAGAGAGACAGAGAGACAGAGTCACATTCAATCAAATCCCTATTTTACATTTTTTGCAATTAAGAGATACCATCAACTTTGCTTAATTTCTGATCGCCGTATATGAGTAAATCTAATTAAATTCTCAAACAGAGGTTGTAACTGTCTTATTAATAGATTTCGATTATGAATGTATAGGGGGACAAACATAAAAATAGTAATAAAAGTCTTCACATGGGTTGTTGCATCTACATTCAGCTGTATTACCATTTGTTCTAAAAAAATCGTAATCAAGAGATCTGGCAGGATTTCTCAAACGGAAATGAAGTATGTTTAAATTACGTAAATCTCATACCTAAAAGCATTTGTCATGTATTATTTCTGTCTTACTGATAATTGATTTAAATGTATTGAGAGAAGGACAGTCTGTTTTATTGAGGAAACAAATGATCTATTCGCGATTTTTTTTCTGTAAGTGTACGTTAAATGTTGTAAGACAGATAACGTGTTTTACACTGTAATATGACGCCTGCAATATTCGTTTCACATTTTCTATGAATAATGTATAATCGTTACAAAAGCTCATCTTGGAATCAAACAATGATTACTGGTTAGGCATATATCAGTCAATGAATAAATAAACAAGTTCATCGTAACATTTTAATGCGTTGCGATGATCAAACCTTGAAAAAAATTGAAAAGGTAATAGGTAAGTCCGCTTTTCCCGATATTCCAATCACCAGCAAATTAAAATCGAATTAATCTAATCCGTGTTGATTATTTACATAATAAGTAGATCCTGATCAAGCGCAAATCGAAAGTATCAGGAAAATCTAATTTGCATATTTAAATTACTCATTTAAATATGTTGTCAAATTTGGACATAGTAACGTTTAAAGGCCCCCTTTTTTAAAGCAAAGACACGCCCACCATCCTCCCTTTGGTGCATTTGTTATATTGGTGTCATGACGTCGACTATGTGGTTTTAGAGTCATTTGCATACATGGTGCTGTTTCACTTAAAATTCAATGCAACGAATAAAATCAACCTGTTAGGAGGTATTCGTGTTTAAAATAACCAACTACGTAGCAATATTTTCGCAACAAAACTGAAATATGGTGAGATTTTGAAGCTAGTATGCTCTGGTGTTGCGAGTTTCTTTCACATACGTTCTATATACGTTACCTATCCCGTGATACCAAATGATAGCATGTAAAAATAATGAAATAAAATCAGTTAAACGGAGGTGAAGACCGAAATTCATTACCACAATTTACAAACTGCAACGCCCGACATTAGTTCAATGTCTTATTTCATTGGAATTCTGAAATGAGTGCATTTGAAATGAATAGATTTGAAACACCGCGATTAAGATTTGTCCTGTTGTATATATACAGAATACAAGAGCGTGTTAAAAACGTCTTCAAAAAGAAGCCAAGTGTGATTTTCCTGTCAAGCATGGGTTGTCACATGAACAAAGCTCCCTGAAAGAGTGATCCGCTTGTGCCCATTCCTAATCGCTTCTATAAATGCGGTCGTGCCATGTGCAGTACGATATACTGAGGTTTTGAACACTGTTAGGGTTTCTTGTGAGCACACGTTAACCGTGTCTTTATTTTATGGTATTTATGAATGAATTTCCGTTTTTTTTTATGTGCAAAAGTTTATCTATATGAAAATGCTTGATTACAAAAAGTTGTCTTTAATTCGTTTATTTAACTTTTTATCATTTGTTGTAAATTGCATCCTGTCGATATAATGTATGATCATGGGCCCCTAAGTATGAATGTCAAGGTTATATAACTCAGATTGGTCTATATAGACAAGTTTGATATAACCTCGAGAAATAGTTGATCATGACAGGTACTGTGTTTTCATCTAATACAAATAGACTTCTCGAACAGTGGAAGAAAGTCGGTATGTACCAGTTTGGAACAAAATATAAAAATGCAATTTATATCAAATTATATCTTAAGTGGAGAGAGAGAGAGAGAGGGAGAGAGAGAGGGAGAGAGAGAGGGGGGATTAATGATTTGTACGAGACTTTGCATTTTCGGGCTAACAGTTTCAGATAAATATTTTTGGCACGTTCTTGATTCCTTGCATGATTGCTATGATATCAGTTTTGAAAAAATCATGATTTCTCAGTTTTCCAATTTCGGACATATTGGCGATTTCACATTTTTGGACAAAACAGGTTTGGGCTAGTTTCTTCATAACCTCATATACAGTTCTACAGCGTTGAGTCTTTGTATCAAGGCTCTGATTGTATGTAACTATGAATATCTGTATTTTGAAACACGTGTGAAATTTATTTTTGGGTCGAAATTTTCATATTTCGTTTTACGGTAACTATTGCAATAGGACTTTATTAAATAGCCGGATATTACATAACCGTAATTAAGGAACTGGGAAGGCACGTAGAATATAAAGGGACCTCACCTTTAGGGTCAGTCATTGAAACTTTTGCTGTGGTCGAAAGGCTATCATGCATCGTTTTCAGCGCTCCTTTTGTGTAATGTCCCTACCTCTGCCATCAAAATCACTCATTTTGAATGAAACTTTAACCTTTCCTTTCATAACACTTGTGTGAAGCTTAATATTTCTGAACTAAAAAGGTAGTAGAAGACCCAGACAAAATTTCATGGTTTCTATTTTCTCACCGCAATTAAAGTCACTTCAGAATGTAATCGAAACTAAAGCAAGCAATAACCAAGACGACAGAAATACTTCAAATGTATAAATAAAGTCACACCTCAGCACAACCACGTTTGTACCACCATGATGTAAACCGCGGTAAAACATGACACTTCCTGAAACCGAGGGCCAAGTTGTGACAACAATACAGGTGGACTCACTGACCCCAATACTATTAAATTCCCATTTTCCTGTCATGATTCTTAAGAAGTTATAAAGAATGTTCCTGTTTCCTCTTGCAAAGTTGAAAAGTTTCTCCAAATATCTTGATTTTAATTTTTGATCAAATGACAGGTTTTAAAAGATGCAATATTGAAAGACTTATCCTTGCCATCCTTTATGAGGATATCATCATGAGTCATTTGTTCTTTAAAGTCAAGATACAAGAATTCAAATTAGTAACTGTGTGAGAAAAAGAAATAAAATCTACAACATTTATGTGTTTTATTTAATGAAGATGAAGCTTGTTATAAGAGTTGATTTGTGAAGTAGTCTGTATGCGCACAAAGGTATGATATATAACAGTGGTTTATGGTAGGTACTGGAAGGTGATACAAAGCTAGACAGGAACCAAAGCTTAGGTATCAGGAGCTACAGACTATAACACTATTTTGTTTTTGTCTCTGTGGCCTTACCACGAGGTCCTATGAAAAGGTGTTTAGAAAAACACTACCAAAAACAGAAGAAAAAATGAAACATGGAGGTTTGTATATAACAGAGGATGGGATGGGGGTCGGACGATGAAAGTTCAGTTTAGTCTCTTTAACTTCAGCTTGGCAGAGGTCAAAGATGATTTCTCAGAATCAGTAATGGGCTGGAAAATATCGAACTTACAACAAAAATAATACATGTATCCGAGGTAAAATATTAATAGCGAAATATTGCTCAGCAACAGTGATCTTTCCTTCAGTTTGATCTATTCACTATAAGATAATTAACCCAGAGGCCTAAGGTTTGAATGCAATTAGCGACTCTGAAATAAACAAGGACCCCTGTTACATATATACATGGCAAATTAACATCTTGTATAATAGGTGAACATAAACAAAATCTAACAACTTCTTTGAACTGGTGGCTTGATGGTAGTACTGAAGGTAGGAAACGTGTCTTCCCTTGTTATTCTTCAAAATGTCACATGTTGATAACACACAGATGTGCACACCAATAGTTGTGTTTATATTCCTGTTGTCAGTAGATAAAATGAACTGAGGAGAAACAGTTTTGAACAATTTTTATTGATTATTAATGACCTCAGTGCTCCATTGCTTCATCGTTTGTTTTACTATCAATTTCATCATCACTGTCACTGTCAAAATCATCTCCTACATCTTCATCCTCATTGCCATCTTCCTCTTCCTCGCCTACAGAAATAGATCATGTGAACAGTTATACATGGTGTTCAATTAACTACTTTGATAAAGATATAAGAATGTTTTTTGGACATGTAATCTAGACAGAGATATATTACAAAACAAGAAAGCACATCTAAAGTAAGTAGGATTTTTGAAAGCAAACCAGACCTCAGTTAATTGCCAATAATGATGTCATGCTGAAAATATGACTTCATTAGTTTATATTCAAGGTTTATTCTACAGTCTGATTCTAAAGTAATAGATTGTGTCAACAAGATTAAATGGGCAGAGGCTTGAAATACCTACAAAGACTGAAAAATAAACTTTTTCTATTTCACCAAATTACTGAAATTAGTTTCAATATTTGTCAAGAAATTTTGAATTTGATGAAATTTTACAGCCATGTTTTGATCTTACCTTCAGAATTCAACTCCAAAATGTCTAATGCTCCCATGCAAAAGTATCATTGTTTGATGAATTCACAGATGTTGGTATATAAGACCTTTACCCCTTTAACCATGACTAATGTCCACTTTAATCAGAAAGGTTTAGAACTTAATGTAATGATACCACCGGGGGAAATATGAACTAAGACTGTTTTTAAGAGGTTCTCAAGATATGACCTTGTTTCCAAATGTGGCGAAACAGGATAGGGTGCAACATGATGGACAGATATGGAATAACACTTTATGCCTCAAGGAAAGGGGGAGGGGTAGTGGGGGAGGGGCATAAAAACAAAGTTAGTATCAACTTCAAGTCAAACTAAGAGCATATTACATACCTGGGCCAATCTCCTCAATTAGTTCCTCTATGTGTTTCAAAAGTTCTGGATCATCACATTTAATCTTTTCATACACCTGTAATAGATATAATTCCACAAGTAATTAATGTGGGGTATATGACTTAAAACTTTTCTAGCTTTGTTCTGCTTCTACCCAATATAACTCAATTATATATCAAACAGGAATCAGTTTATTGTTGAATGTAGCTGAACCACCATTAAACTATCCGTAAAAATTACACTACAAGTAAGTTTTTACTGCCAGATACAAATTTATCATAACCTACCTGTTTTGCCTGCTGCAGGTAGTAGCGGGCATTCTCCTTATAGTCCTGGCCCTGTAGGTAGTTGGACCAGCCAATCATATACCAGACTTGTGGAACCTCATCATTCTCATCTAGTAAACCTTCTAATACATCCACCGCAGTCTGTGCAATAATATCATTATTAACAGGTATATTTTTCTAATCTAATAGAAACTATGAATTCAGTCATCTCCTAATTACCTTTCATGTCTTAATTTTTAAAACAGCATTACATGAATTGAACAATATATAACATCTGTTTGTTATCATACGGCATTTATCTAGGCTCATTGTATAATAAATGAACTTGCTAGGAAACACTACTAGTTGATTGTTATGAATGAATCAACTTTGTCAGAATCAGTCTTATCAATTTTGCAAAGCATACCATGATCAGTCTTAACACCATCAGCATGGTCAGCTAATATCTTTTGAACCACAGGATATCTTAATCATCATGTAAAACAGTAACAATTCTGAATAATTATCATTCATCTACCAAAAGGTGGAGCCCACTTACAAAAGAAATGATGTATTTTCAGAAAAAAAAATGTATTGTTTTTTAGCTCACTGAGTTTGAAAGTAAAATTTTTGTTCCAAATGAAGAAATTAATCAAATGAGAAGACAAAAACAAAACTTACCTCATATTCTTTCACTTCTGTTAATATTTTGGCTGCTGCTATCCTAGTATCAAAACTGAGTGGAGTCAACTGAAAAGAATAAGAAAATATAACATATAATTTATCTGATTGTTTATATGCTATTTAAACAACTTTCAGGTCTGTCTCCAAGGCATATTACCGGGGTATACTTTTAAGTTACCTCCCTTCCATAGCATTACAACATTGATGCAAAAAATTCCTTAATTATCTCCCCTTCATATCTCATAGAAACTGAAATCCAGTTTTGGCTAATTTATTATAAATCAACATAACATGCAAGTTACATTAAAAAAAACCTTTCGCCTCCAATCCAACCTTATGAAGTCCATGCTTCTGAAAATCTTTGAAGAATCACTTCTTACATGTGGTGAAATGGCTACATTGTGCATATCCACAGAAACAGAACAAATTTCACTATAGCATTAGCACAGCAAATGGACATATTTACAAACATATGCTGAACAGCATTTATCACACATGAATACAAATTATAGCAATTTAATTGAACAGAGGTAAGTATTAGAACAAGAGGGCCATGGCCCTTACCCGTCATCTGACAATCAATGAACAGATGGACTAACCACAGAATTTGCAGATAATTGCCTGACAAATCTGATGAATTCCCATGATGTATTTCAGGCCAAATTCAGCATAAATCCATTCAAGCAGTAAGGAAGGATAGCATTTTGAAGCAAAATCATCGACTAACTAACTCCAGATCCCTAGAGGTCGAATCACTTTTCTGAATTTAAGAAATGATAACCCACCAGTAATCATGTTTCAGATCAAATTATGTTAAAATCTACCTAGGCATTAAGAAGAAATAGCATCATGAAGCCAAGTATTGTCTTACTTCCCCATTTGAGGCCTCATCTCAAATGATGTTTCAGACCAAATTTGGTTGAAATCCACCCAGGCGATAAGCAGGAGTAGTGTTTTAAATGAAAAGTTCACGGATGGCACAAGGATGACGACAGTCAACGAACGGTGTACCACTATGGACAGTGCACACTAGCAATAGGTCATCTTCACCCTTCAGGTATATGACCTCAAAATGCATATTTTTTATTTATGAGCACATAACGCAACACGAACAAGCATTCAATAAATACATTCATTGATTTAAAAGCCACTTCTGGTAGGGAGAGTTTTAGTTTCAAACAATCTGTCCAGGGACCAAATTTAAACTGAAAGGGAACTAGACCACCTGATAAGGCAAACCCATGGGCAGCCTCTGAAAATGAGAAGGGTCAACCCTCCAGATTAGTCATAAGGTGAGTGGCACTCACCAAGAAAGGCCCGACATGGAAGTGGTGATAACAACCTATCTGACCCGACGATAGGGATATATATTCACAAATTCATCATACATTCATCATACATTTTGTTTTGGAACCAAATTTTCACATGGTGACAACTGCTTTTTGTATGTATTCTTAAAATCAATCTTAAAGTGTGTTAATTCATTTGTATTTAAGTTTTAACTTTGTCCTCTAGAAAGGAATTTATAATTATAAAATCCATGATTAACAAGTTTCAGCTATAGCAAACTGTTTGGTGAATGGTTGTTGTTTATATCAAAAGCATTCAGTATTATCAATTTTTCTTGAGCAAAATATGGAGGTGTACAGTGTAAAGGATTACCTCCAGTGGATTAAACTCCTCATCAGGAACTTCTCCTTTGTCAGCTGCTTTATATTTGGGTAACCATAATGATACACTCTTCTTAATCATCTCTGTAGCCTTCTAGAACATTGAAATGTTCACATATTAGGGACAGGTGCTTTTAAAAAGCAACATAAAAACTAGAAGTTTTCTCCTAAATACCTTCTTTGCATTTTTCTTTTACTGTGAGGAAACTTACATTAGGATATTGCAAATACAAAGTGTATATTCTTCTACATTATTTGAATAGTATGAAAAGAATGATATTTCCCTGTTAAGTCTATGAGTATGTAAGGAATATATCTACATATAATCAACTCTCTGTTAAAAACCACACATAAAATGGAATAAAAGTCGATTCCATTTGATTCTCTAAGAACTACATAGTATAAGGAGAAATGGAAGGCTACACAACTTTCTACTGAACAACACTTGCTGTAGAGGAACGAGAACATACCTCATCATTCTCTTTAGAGAGTTGATAGCTGGCCATCATCTGATAGGCCTCAGCATTCTCACTGTCAATTGCTACAGCTTGGTTTATGTACTGTTCACATTTTATATCTGCATCCTCCTCCATGCTAAAATTTTCAATAAATCTCGAGGTAAAAAACTAAAAAGCCATTGGATATTTTTAGGTAACAAAATGAACACCTGTCGGCCTTGAAGCATAGAAGTGAAACTCAACAATTCTCTATCATGTTAATTATACAGGTAGAATGAGAGAGTAGAGGTAATTGAGTTTTTACTTCAAACTCTAATGCAAAATATAACAAATAATTAACTCCTCTAAGTAAGAGTATTCCCTGACCATTTGCAATTGAATATTTTATGAATGATATTGGGAAGAAAATTAACCAATTGAGAACCAAATTTTTGAAGACTTTCAGCAGTACTGGTAACTAGCAAGTTTTGAAATTTTTCATATCAATAAAGTTTAACATAATTCTAAATGGGCCAATCTCAGAAAGCCCTTTAACTTGGGTTAACTATCACAAAACTAGTACATTTCTATGCCAGGTATATTAATTTTCCTCTCACAAAGTTTTCCCACTCATGTAAACACCCTTACCAACAGTCTGTCATGTAAAGTTCTGCCAGGGACAGGTAGGCGTTGCAAATTTCTTCACTTGAAACCCCATCTCGTGGTCCACCCCCACAGGCAGCTGCCAACTGGAAATTTCAATTGACACTTCAGGAGGAAAATTTCAATGCACATTGTTCATTGAATATACATGAGATTTTGTTTGCATTCAAGTTATACATATGAATTGTATGTATCTCCAGTTTGTAAATTATTCAATTAAGAGATCACTATACTAATTCCTGAGCATTTTCTATTCATTATACACATGAAAATATTAACCATTTAACAAGTTTTTAAAGAAATATGGTAAGTTTATAGCACATAAATTTTACACCTCTGATGCTTGTTTCGCCTCATGCTCCTTCATCATTAATTCTATTCCCTTCTGGAAGCATTGAACTGCCTGTGCACCTTCAAACAACTGCCCTAGGTACATGTACTTTGAATGGCCTTGGTTAGGACAGACTTCCACAGCTCGGCCAAAACACTGCAAAAATAGGATTGACAAGAAAGCTTCATCAAAGGGAAGTAACCTGGTATTGAAACAGTAACTGTATTTAAACATATGTAGGCTTTCATGAAAGGGTAGTTAAGTTTTGCATATTTTAACTTCATTACTTTTTTCTATATTGCAGTGAAGAAGAGTCTGTTGATACAGGAAAGTGAAGTTATCAGCATTTAGCAGCATCCTCTTGTTCCTATTTTGAAAACTTCCTTCAGAGACTACAGGAAGCTTGTTATAATTCACTTCTTCATTTGAAATACACTACCTGTTTTGCAGCCTCCTGATTTCCAAGCTCTAACAGAAGGGATCCTGTTGTTTCCAGAGCCAGAATATTATCAGGCTCCATCTCCAAAGCCCTCTGACAGAACTTTTGGGCAACTTCATATTCAAATCGATCAATACAATCTTCTGCCTGTGTAATAGAAAGTGTACATTTGTTCTGTGCATATGATATACAAACAATTGGAGTTAAAGAATAATTTTTTTCAGAGTCTAGTTTTACAAGTTAAGGTTAAAGACAAATGATTTATCTATTTAGTATGTATAAGGCACTGCAGTGCCCTAAAGATATTTTTGTTGGTGAAAAAGGTGACTTGTACAAAATTCCTTGTTTTGGATTTCACTTCTTACCTCCAGGGAGACACAACTTTTCCTTTATGTATAAATTTGATTTTCAGTCTCACAAATTTTCATAGCTCTAAGTATTGAAATATCTTTTGACATTTATCAGAGCTTAGTTCATTCTGTTACTAGTGTGACACTATTTTGAATACCAAAATGGAAAGAATAAGTTGACTTATAATTCAAGGCAAAATGTTCCACCACTCAGTATTGTGCCTCTAGCAAAGAAGAGTTCTTCAAATTTACTGCTGGCAGTTGACAGTCTATCAGTGAGGAATTATTAACTGAATTACTGAAGAGATCTGTTGATGTATAATTTCAACATATTTGTGACTCAAACTTTTACTGAAATAACAAAAATTCAGGTGTTATTTTTTTCTTTTTCTTACTTTTTTTAATTTGACTACCAGTGCCTCCCCTGTAAAATCCATAAATGTCGTCTGTCAATCTTTAGGCTTTGGTGCATATTTGATTTTGATTTTTGCAATTCCATAAGAATATGCCATTTTTCTTTCTTTATTTTCTTCAATTTTATACATGTCAAAAGTTCTATCATTTGTTCAGGTTAAATTTCATCATAATAGTTTAAAGCATTGTCTTACTAGTTTTTCTTTCTAACAAACTTTCATTGTCAAAATCCAAATTGATCACCTGTCCCAAAATGAAATAAAAATTGCTAAGGACTATATGTGAAGTTTGAATATGATCCATTCAGTGCTTCTCCAGAAATAGCAATAAAAATGTATGGCTATCAAAACCCAAAATGGCTGCCTGCAGACATCTTGCTTTTCTTACCAGGAACCAAGGCAAATCTACATATGAAATTTGAGAATGATCCATCCAGTACTTTTCCAGAAAAAATGATGAAGGAATTGTTTCAGGACAGATAAACCATGGAAATTTAATGAACCCAACATTTGATGATGGTGGGCTAACAAAAACCAATTTTTTTTTGGGAGGGGTGGGGGCGCTTTTTAAGTAAAACTTACTCGGTAATTCTTACAAATTTTTACAGAGTATTATAGTCACCACCACTAACACAATCATAACAATATCATAGAAGTTGATCCTTCAAATCTAAACAGTAATAAACTTCTTGCAAGGATAAAGAGAATTACGCTTTTTCCTCAATTAATTTCCATTCATAAAAAGAATTATGTTTGCACTGAATAATCAAAATATCTACCTTCTCCAAAAGTTGTTCTACACTGTATTTTTTAGATGCTTTTCCCTTAGATTCGATAGCCACTTCTCTTTTTGCTTGCTGTATACGTCGCCTCCTCTCCGCTAAAAAGAATATGAATATTATAACTCACCAGTGTACTTGTCTACATTAACTAAACATTTGTAAAATATATTTCAATCAATTATTTCTACTTCCAAAGAGTACTGATCAACTACAACAACCTGTTTATAATTTTTCCTCAAACATACAACAAATTAATCAATGTTCATGAAGAGAGCTTGGCTGGACACAAGAAAATACTTTGTTGGAGTTAATTACAAATAGCTACATTTCAAAGGAAGAATAAATGATCGCTTTCTTAACTGAGTATTGGAATATGTCATGATCTGTAAGGAAAGTTGACAGATACACTTACTTATCATCTCAGAGAGAACCACAACTTTGTGTATAATAGCTTATTTATTATTTCCAAATAGGAATATGGATTTGTTACAAAATATAACCAAAATCACTTAAACAGTAATTTTCGCAATGTATTATTAAAAGTCACATTTATTTATGACAAGGTAAATATTTTTTTTACTAAGTGATGTTTATTGAAACTGCTCGCAACTAAGAAATTTGATGTAACGGTTGTCCCTGTAGTAACTGTACTATCATATAATAGGCTGGAAGTACTGCATCTTATGATCTATATCCAGTAGTTTCACACATGCAACTAAATCATAATTTTGAAGTTGTATGTTTCCAGACTATATAAATGTGACTGTTGCAAAAAATTAGAGAAACTTAGTTTAAAGTGATTGCGGCTATTTTCATAACAAATCCATACGTATATAATAAGTGGCTAGTTTGTGTATTATATGCAAATTTGTGGTTTCCCCAACCTGATTGTGAGATCACTGTTTATCAGTTACATTTGTATATCAGTTGTTGACGATGTTATATAAAACAATCAAGCAAGCATGTCTATATTTTTCTGCTAGGGCACACAGTTTAATGGGGTTCAACACTCACATTCGCTGTTTAACTATATACCAGACATAAACTACATGCACTGAGATACAGCATACGTATTCTTGAATTTTCGTCAAATTTCCGTGTTGTAATGACCAATATCGATCATATTAATGTTGATTGATATCATAATGATGCCATATGGATGAATGGTAGTATTTACCGGCGTTTACCCATTCTCTGTTAAAATCATTCATAACTAGTGTCGAAACCAAACTTATTGAGGTATACTATAAGTTCGGGAAATGTTCTCAATGAAAACTGAAAACAAATGTTGTTTTTAAATTACCAAGCGACCCTTCAACACTTTTCTTAAATTTCCGTTTGCCCATATCTTCTCTGTCAGCTTCAATTCCTCGGAGTTTTTTTCTTCTTAATTTTTAAATCGAACTATTACATACGGTTTAGTTCCACATGTGAGGCAATCTATGCATAGAGACGCTTGAGAAACTGTGTCAGAAGAGCGCTTAAAGAAGAGTAATACTAAAACCAAAAGCCGGAATGGCTCTTGAGACTTTGTTGAGGTTTTTGCTCCTAGCGTTACAAAAATCGAAGTGCTCCTGATACTATCGTGTATCGCTATTTGGCCTCTGAAGGTCATTATCCCTCTAAGTGAGGGTACATTTAACTAAATTAAACAATAAATGGAATATCATCACGCAGACTTGTGTCTTCACTAAATGTAATAGGGCTAATCTAGTCATTTTTGGGCAACTAAAATTGTTCGAAAATTAACGTGTTAATTCAGAATACAGATATCATTTCACGCTTATTTTATATAGGTTGTTGTTCTTAGATTATTATTTTTTATGTCATATTTCTGTCAATAAAATGAGGCACGATGCATTTCAAATATAAACTACACATTCACGATACGACAGAACATCAGAAACGTTGACTCCGTCTCCTGTTGTAAAACAATGATAGACGTATTTGATACTGTAAATTTGAATTGGGGTCCATGCAGCTATTTTTGACTAAGTTTTTGCCTTCGCCACTTTGAACTCTCCTGTAAGATGAGATGGGTAGCTGTTGTTTGACTGTTCATTAAACTATAATTGCCAGTGTCAGTTGAACTTGGAGCCACTCCTAACCAATTACGCTGTGACTCGCTGATGATTCCAGTCTCATGTTGTTCATAATTGTTTTGTTCACTTTGGAAGGAATATCTTCTAACAGGACCTTAAGTGTAAATTTTTGAGCAACCGTGCCTCCTTTGATGACTAGAACTGCTTAAGATAATGTAATTCAGCCCTTCGCTGATGTCTATGATATGGCCTCCTTGTACTTTTTCAGGAGTCTCCGTGTAAATCTTACATTGTTAACATTTTGCCATAGTTTTATTGAATTTAGTTTCAGCTCATTATTCCGTCAACATGTTGGTATTTCTGGTTGTTTCTGATGTGGTATCGACTGTGACGTCACAGTGGTGAACTTGGCTTCCCAAATGAATTTGATGTTGTGTGCTCAGTGCAACCCATCTCCCCTTCCCTTTGCTTTCTTATTAGATATTGAATAAAAATGGTTTCTCGCTCTGAAAAGGAATGTTTGTATGGGATTTACTTTTAATGCAACTCTCTGAAAATCAACAGCCAGTGTTCCTGGATTGACAATATTTATAATTCATTTTTAACTCTATTTTTTTCTCCCTCTTTTTTATATTTGTATTTAACCTTTTGGTTGAGATTGGTAGTTCTGTCCTGCAAGCTTAATTCCTTATGACAATACTTGTTGGTCGAACCCATGTCGGGGTTCATTCAGATGGTATAGGGGAAGCAATACACTGTCATAAAGGAACATATTGTGTTGGTATGCAATAATAGATAGGTGTGGTTTTCATCAAATGTTTTAATTCTCAACGTCACTTTGATACTTCCGACATTTTTATCATATGATTATAAGCTAGTTTTATTGGAAGTACCACTGAATACTACCAGAAATACTATTGTGTTGGGTGACACAGTGATATATATATATATATATAAGAATTATTATTATGTTGTATCAATATCTGTGGTACCAGTGCCAATCTCTACCAGAGTTGTCGTTCCTTAACAGTCTGTTGGAGAGGTTGCCACGAACCACAAACACTGCTGAGAACATGCTTTATTGCACACAAACTTAAAATTTTTGAATTTGTGAGGTAATTTTTTTCTGCTTCTGTACCTATTTGCTCTAAACGCGAATTATAAAAGATCCTAACATTTATACAATAAGATAAACTCTTATATTTTGTTATTAAAGAATTGTGATAGAAATGACACCTTTCGATGTTAGGTTTTTTGGCTTCTTTCATGAAAATACTTAAACAGCTGATAATTATTGACTTATTTTTTATGTGATCACCCCATAGCTCAAAATTCGGCATCACTTTGTAAGGTTACGTTTGACTGGCCATTATAAAAGTAAAAAAAAAGATTGTGGTCCGTGATTTAATTCACGGTTTATTAAGAGTGGAGTCTGTTGTGTTACCCTTTGGTAACTTAAAATTAATCAGAGGTAGTCCTCAAAGGTTAATAAAAATGTTTGGTGTCATGATGATTACAAAACACATTTGTATCTCAAGTCATATGATGAATATAATCCAATCATGTAAGTAGCCAAGATGACCTGTTAACCTTATCTTGCGGGCGTTAGGCCTTCCGTTCGCCGTTATCTGTGGTAGCGTTGCGTCGTGCTCTGGTATTGTAACTGACCGGTTGTGCTGCAGCAGTCATGATATCTGCCATTCTTTCCCTTTCACTGTTTCTTCTGTTTAGCCCGGATGGTGCAAGTGGTCAAAATATTCTGTGCATGATGATGCACTGCGCTGAAGAGTCTAAAAACTGCATGTTGGACTCCGACTGTAGGTCGGCACTGGCATGTATCACGGGATGTGGAACGCAAAACGAAACATGCATGTTCGACTGTCTTTATTCGTACGAGGACGACGTGTTCGATACCTTCATGAAGTGTGCATTTACGGAACATAAATGCATCACCATGGTTTCGCCAGACCCTAACTTCCGCTGCAAGCCTCCACATCCACCTTTACAAACTCTGTCCGCACAGCAACTTAAAGGTGCGTGGTATATTGTTCTCGGACTTAACCCTAATTTCGACTGTTTTGACTGCCAAATAACCACATTTCAACCGTCGAACACTTCCAACACCTTGTTTGTAAACGAACTTTTTGAAGTACATACCGTCGACGGTAAGCTTAAACACAGGCTGGTTAACGAAACGGCCGTGCAAAACACATCAGTTCAGGGACTTTTGGAATACAAAAGCATGCAGATGGGACATGAGACGACCACAGAATGGAGAATTCTGTACCAGGACCCAAAGCTAAGTTATATGATAGGCTACTATTGTGGTCATGTAGCATCCGACTGGTACTATGAAGGGTCTGTCGTTTTCTCTCGCATGCCGGCACTTAGCAGTGAAGTTCTGACTGAGGTCAAAGGTCACATGACATCCCTCGGTCTACCTGTGAACCAATTCTGTGCGCCGAAGACATCGAATTGTTTTTAATTTGTAACCGCAAGTTGTTAAATACAGATTTCCAATCTTTGTGAATGCATGTTGTTATTGATAAAATACTTCGCTTATCTGATAAAGAGTTTCCCCTTCCATATGTCCATGACCAACTAAGATTTATCTAAAATCTCTCATGATGGTTGACATTCATCTCACATTCTTTCATAAAGCGCAGTATAATTCTTCTTGACGGTGAGTTGATTGGTTCAACGTCCTGGCAACAACCAGGGTCATGAGAAAACGAGCGTCAAGTGGAACCCTGGAATGGGGGAAAACACAGAAATACAGAGCGAGATAAGAGAGAAAGGAAAAATCAAGACCCGAAGTATTGCGATGGAGGCTACAGATTGATTTCAGTCCCTTCAATATCCCTTTAGTTCGAGACACTGCTGGGGAACATTTTCAACCCCTCCTATGAGCATGAAGTGGAATACAGCTGACACTATTCTAAGGCTCTACAATGTCTCCTAGCCAGAACATCGGAGAGACCTCCACCAGGGTAGGCTACACTTAGTCGCCACTGAAATTCCGTTCTCAACACTACGATATATGTAAATTTTTTCTCTTGCTAAAAGTGTTCTTCCTACAGACGTTAAGAATTACTTTGGTTTAGAACATGCTTCCGAGGACTTACCTAATTCGGCCCATACGATGAGCACATGTATGTCAAGAATCTAAGTGATTTTTTCTCATTTCAATGGTAGTCTCGGGAATGACATGAGCAAAATCAACATTGAGAGTTAGTTTTATTTATTTCTTAAACTATTTATTCACTTTTGTCGAACTATTGAAAAAGGTCGACAACAAAAAAATGGACGGTCAAAAAACTGGAAACACAGCTATATATATTTTTTGCTACCGACCTTTAATATAAATATTGTTGAAATATTGGCAATATATATATATATAATTCAATTACGTTTAGTGTATCATACGTGTTAATATAAAAACACAATATTATTAACAATGGCAACTAAAATTCCATATCACAATCACTAAGGTTTTCAAGCCTTGCGACCATTTTCTGGCTATTGCCTTTATGTCATAAGTACGTAACATATTAATAATGTTACGTACATATTACTATGTAACTTTCCTATTAGTATGTAACTTTCCTATTGTTATGGCATCAATTCAATCTCCTGAAGATAACCACAAGGCTTGAAAACGTTATTGATTGTGATTTGGAATTTTAGTTGCCATGTTCACATTTTGTTTACATATATATATATGCCTTATCTCGCTTTGAAAGGCCTGGTCACATACAGGTTATCAGTCTCATGTACTTTCAGAAGATATCCCATAGACTAAAACAATACAATCAAGACCAACTCGCTTAAATACAGCCTCTAAAATAAGACCAACTCGCTTAAATACAACCTCTAAAATAAGACCAACACGCTGAAATACAGCTTCTAAAATCAGACCAATTCGCTTAAATACAACCTCTAAAATAAGACCTCTTTGCTGTTAAGACAACTTTATTGCAATCCTAAACATTTTCTTTACTTATCTGTGCTTTTCTACTAGGACTGATTTCCTCGAAATTAAGACCTGTTTTTAAAAGTCTCAAATACCTATTTTGCATCGAATTTCGCCACAGTTAGCAAAGTTACCAGGTTTGTATTTTTCGAACAGTTTACCCAACTGCTCCATTGGATTTATCATCTTATAAACTAAAAAAATAAATGGTCAATACTTCTATTTATAATATCATCTTTTAGAATAACACCATTTATAGAGTCAGATACAATATTCATCTAGTGTACTCTTCGTTCAAAATCATTTCGACGTCATCTTAAACCTGTTGATTAGTAACTAAATCTCCCACAGCAATAAACCACCATTTTCTCCGTGACAAGAAAAAAGTTCCTGCGTTTAAATATCTAAATAAGCTTGTTCACATGATTATCAATATTTTACTTGTTACAATATTTTCATACTTGTATCAGTAGGTATTGGGACAGAATACTTAGGTGGAAAGTACTAGTGATAGCTACGTTTGAAAGTGATGCATCCTAAGATGAAAACTCAAACTGGATCAAAATTCACATTCAAGTTTTAGAGAAATACACAGAATAACTCTCACTTAGATTATTGATACAGAAACAGTGGCAATTGTAAATATATACAAGCATATTTAATATACAGACAAAAAACCTACATCGAAAAGGTTTCTGTGACAGACCTCTAATAAAACACTTTACGTAGTGCTTGAAGGCTGGTCAGCTCGGTTTCTCTCACTTATTTTGTGATTTGTCAGCAACTTATCGGGACTTCGTTGTCAAATGGACTTATTCGATATTATGCAATAGCGGTCTTTACAATCGACAATCGTCACACAGGTGTTCCTTTCTCAGCTCACATTTTAAAGACACATCTACGAAAAAAAGTAGATTGTAGACTGATAATATCATTGGACTTGAAAGAAATGTTAGACGTGTCTGAATTCCTGATATAAAGTATACTGTTACACGATCACAGAGGGGAGTGAAACGTACAACTAAGGTCCTTGGCTGTTCTGTCAAGGGAGATAGTCTAAAAAATGAAGAACCTAGGATTAAACATTAATAATTCGGATGGAATAATTATCTGGCATATAACAGTTTAACTAAACTTGGGGTTGTAATATCTTCTGTTCTTTGTTTTTCTTCCATATGTATCCCTTAACAACGATCACTTTTGGCCTTCAAAATGAGCAATGTCCATATTATAATTATTAGTTCCGTCTCGGGCTATAATATAAACCATCAAATCACCTCCTACATTTTTTCCCTTGTAGGTATGAGATAAGAAATGTTTCTAGTGCTTCCACTGCATACTCATGAAGGGAAGCCATTTGCGATCTTCTCTCCTCTCTAAACTTGTTTGTTTTTCCTAATGTCTGCCTTGGATCTGCCAATCACTTTTGGCCTTTAGTCAAGTGTTCGCCTATGTAAGGAAAGCTTTGGGTTTTACGGTCCTTGGGCCGAAACATATCGGGAAAATATTGAATAATAATGTTATGGTAATTTCACAATGGAATTAAAACTAAATGAAATTATTAATAGGCTGATACGTAGCATATGTTTTCGTAACTTTGATACTAATGATGTCCCCAGTTCGTATGTTGTGCGTTGTGGCGGAACTTCAGTGCCCCGCCCACTCCTCACTTGCACTCAACATGCGCTAACCTCGCATATATAGGGAGGCGGGAGGCCACAGCCATACATTATAAGAGTAAACCACGCAATTATGTACTTGACGCAATGGTGTCCTGATATCCTGCGACACGACGACATTATTGATTAAGTACCCCTTGCAGTTGACTCCAATGAAGTAAGTACCGTCTTTAAATAAGCATAATGTGTGTTTACAAGGCGCCATCACATATACCAGTGTTTACAAGGCGCCATCACATATACCAGTGTTTACAAGGCGCCATTACCATATACCAGTGTTTACAAGGCGCCATCACATATACCAGTGTTTACAAGGCGCCATTACCATATACCAGTGTTTACAAGGCGCCATTACCATATACCAGTGTTTACAAGGCGCCATTACATATACCAGTGTTTACAAGGAAACACGTTAAATCTGAATGACAGGGTCATATATCATCAATTATTTACCTAAATAAACTCCTGTCTGGGAGTCTTGGTGTTTTTTTTTATCTATGCGTTGTTTCCTTGTCTATGCATTGTTTCCTTATCTAGAAATTGAACAAAAACAATTAACTTTGTAAGATGTTTTCATTATGTTCAGTCAGCTTGTGTCTTTCTACTTTTAAATATCATGGTATCAAATTTTTCCTCCGTTGAACTGCTATTGTTGATGCTTCTGTATACGTCTGTGTGGTTTTCGTAAAGAAGCTTTTAGTAAACTGCGGTCTATGGTCCCGGTGCTTTATTAAATATACAAGTGTCTTTCAAAGACAGAGTTTCTACCATAATGTGACAAGTTTATGATGTCACCTTGTGATCATCCTAATTGTATCCACGCCTTAGTGCTGGAGGTACTGGATGGAGGCGCGGTCTGTATGCATGACTGAACTGTATCCCTGAAAAAACAACGCATCTTTATCTATATTCGTACGTTTTTAATTTATCTAAAGAAAATAGTGCACGATCACGGATATCTTACACCAAAAAAGGCAATAACCGATTATTTCATTGAATAATTGATACGACATCATTTCCCAACATCTTGGTGAATAGTAATTATACTATGCTATGTCCTTTCTCTGTCGGGGCAGTAAGTGCATCGTTATGTTATCTTACCTCAGTTCACAGATGTACTGGCCGTTTTCATAACACGAAGTGTCGGTGAAGTAGAAATTAACCTTGTTATATAACGCCAAGCAATTTTCTCTGCCGAACCTGTTGTTGGGCTCCCCGGTACCCCAAGCGAAAAAAGTCAGAGGAGCATTGCCATTTTTCCGGAACCAATGGTTGTTATGGTTACGAACTCCGTCAATCCAATAGAAATGATCACTTGTTCGCTCTTAAAGAACAAAATTAATAATTGCAAAAATTATGAATGTTGCCTGTTTTAATTCTGTCGGATCGACATTATTGACCATATACAGAAACCGCGGTCAGGTCGATCATATAGAAAAACATTTGTCAGGTCGACCATATAGAAAGCCGTCACTAAGTTGAGACAACTGTTCACTACATCTGGCGGATAAGTTTGCGATATTTGATAAAGAAAAACATCACTTGTATTGCCTATAACCTTGTCAACTGAAATCATTAGAACATCAAATCGCTTACACGTTGATAATAAACCACATAAACTCATTAAAAATCGATATCAATTCTATTTTTCCCCAGAACATAATTTCAGAGAGCTCTGCCAGGGTTAGGGCCAGGGTTTGGGCCAGGGTTGGGGCCCTGGGGTCAGACTCTGTACAATACGTGTCCCTCATACACCTAGACAGCACAGACACATACACAAACACCCCTGTACACACACAAAAAATCATCGTGTTTCACATATTCTTTCTACTC